ATCCCTACCTTTTTTTTTGTAGGGAAAGAAGGAATGCAGGAAGATTAGAGGTGGGGGAAGGAAGTTATAGTTCGGAAATTAAAGAAATTCAGGAGGAGGTAAGAGAGGGCGGGCTGACCGCCTAGCTAAGCTAATAGTGTGTTAGGGTTGTGTCATGGGTTAGTTATTGTCTGCCGGTACAGGCACTAGACAGCCTACCCTGTCCCATATATGGGTGTTTTAAGGGCCTTATTTCATATTCCGCCGACCCTACTGGCGGATGCTGGTCTAGAGAGGTTGTCTATTGCCTGGCCGTGTAGATCGGGGTGGTAATGGACCTTTTGAGATTTCGTAGCTTTTTGGGAACCATGTATGGTTGTTGTCGTTATCTGGTGGGAGTCTTTGAAGGAGTTCTTGCTCTGATCGTTCTATCTTTTGCCAGATTCTGCTGGCCAGGGTGTGCAGCTGCTGGTTGATGGGTTTCATTCTCAGGTCTCTATGTATCTCGGCTGTGGTTCTGGTGAAGGGGTATCTTTCACCTGTGACGAATCTTAGGGCTTCATTTTGGACCACCTGTAATTTTAATATTTGAGTGGTGCTCATTGCATGAAGAGGTACTGCTGGGTAAGTTAATATCGGTGTGATAAATGATGTCACCAGGCGGAGTTTAATTTTCTGCAGGATTGTCTTGCCCTTGACCTCAAGTTCGGCTGTAGCTTTTTCGTTGAATAAGTCCCACTCCCCACCCCTACCTCTCCCACTCCCCTCACTCCCACCTCTTCTCCCACCCCCACCCCTCTCACTCCACCTCCCACACCCCTCACACCCCCTCCCACCCCCCACCCCCTCTCCCACCCACCCACAACCCATCCCCTCCTCCCCCCTCCTAGCTTTTCTACTTAAAAAATGACATCTTTTATACTTTTTTTAATTATAGTTTTAAATATAATAACTCAAGGTTTTATCTGTTATTATACGTTATATAATTTTTCGATATAAAACTCCTTAGGTGAATAGAGCGTCACACAACCCTTGGGACGCCAGGTGAACCACACGCATAATCTCACTCAATCTATTCTGCCGAGGACGCTAGGGTTGGGGAGGGAAGGAATGGGATGGAACAGAGAAGGGGAGAAAGGGAAAATAAAGAAAAGGGCAAGAAAGGGAAAATAAAGAAAAGTGCAAGAAAGGGAATGGGCTGGAAAAGAGAAGGAAGGTAAAGGGAAGGAAATGTAAAGAAAACGGAAGGTAAAGAAAGGGTAAGGAAACGATCAGAGTAGTATTGTCTCTATCATTTAAGAGAGAAAGTTAGTGGGGGCGGAACAAGAAAAAAGAGTTTAGCGCAGACAGCGTGGCGACCCTCGTCTCACCACTTCTCCGGATCAGGTTAAGTAGATAAGGTTTCCTGTGCAGGTAAACTGTAGGAGGAGCAAGCTCTTCCCCGTGGTAGCGGCGGCGGCGATTTTGCCTTACGACCTGACCTTACGACCTGACCTGACCTTACGTCCTTACCGTACGATCTTTTTTAAAACCTATGTGCAGATCTCTTCCTAACCTAACTTTGTAGCTAGGATGTAAGAATGGAGGGCAATACTGTGAGGTGAGGGTGGCAGGGTGGGTGGGTGCGAGAAGAGATGAGGGTGGCAGGGGTGGGTGCGTGCGAGAAGAGGTGGAGGGTGGCAGGGTGGGTGCGTGCGAGAAGAGGTGAGGGTGGCAGGGTGGGTGGGTGCGAGAAGAGGTGAGGGTGGGTGCGTGCGAGAAGAGGTGAGGGTGGCAGGGTGGGTGTTTGTTCGTAAAGAGAGAAAGTGTGTGTGTGTGTGTGTACATTCGTAATGAGAAAGAGAAAGGAAAAGAATGTGTAGTGTGAATGTACTGTATGTGTGGATGTATGTCAGTCTTTATCCTATCGTGTTAATTATCTATTTATTTAATCACTTTATGGTATACAAACCACTTTTAAGATTCACTATTTAACAAGAAAAGCATTACAACCAAAAATATCTAACACAACAGCTTGAAATCTTCAGCATTTAAGACAATTGGCGATTTTTTCCGTGTTCAGACAAAGGGAGAGTCACCGACCGAGTCACCGACCGAGTCATGGGGGATCTTGTGCACAAATAACATGGTTCATTGACTCTTACTCTACGGTGTTGAGAGTCATCCAGCTCATCTCTCGACAGTGTGTGGATGTGTTAGGTAATGTCTCGATAGTGTGGATGTGTTAGGTAATGTCTCGATAGTGTGGATGTGTTAGGTAATGTCTCGATAGTGTGGATGTGTTAGGTAATGTCTCGATAGTGTGGATGTGTTAGGTAATGTCTCGATAGTGTGGATGTGTTAGGTAATGTCTCGATAGTGTGGATGTGTTAGGTAATGTCTCTGGATAGTGTGGATGTGTTAGGTAATGTCTGATAGTGTGGATGTAAGTTAGGTAATGTCTCGATAGTGTGGATGTGTTAGGTAATGGATAGTGGGATGTGTTAGGTAAATGTCTCGATAGTACGTGTTGTGTAATGTCTCGATAGTGTGGATGTTAGGTAATGTCTGGATAGTGTGGATGTGTGTTAGGCAATGTCTCGATAGTGTGGATGTAAGTTAGGTAATGTCTCGATAGTGTGTGATGGGTGTTAGGTAATGTCTCGATATAGTGTGTGGATGTGTTAGGTAATGTCCGATAGTGTGGATGTGTTAGGTAATGTCCGATAGTGTGGATGTTATTAGGTAATGTCCTCGGGATAGTGTGGATGTGTTAGGTAATGTCTCGATAGTGTGGATGTGTTAGGTAATGTCTCGATAGTGTGGATGTGTTAGGTAATGTCTCGATAGTGTGGATGTGTTAGGTAATGTCTCGATAGTGTGGATGTGTTAGGTAATCTTCCAAGAGTGTGATTATGTTGGATAATTTTTCAAAGGCGTGGATGTGTTGGATAAGAGTGGATGTTGGATAGTTTCTCAAGAGTGTGGGTGTATATAGGACGACCACTGATTGTGATGGAAGTTGCAAAAGCCAGTTGGCAAGGGAGGGACGAAAGAAGTTGTGGTGGACGTGGGCGGGCCTACCTGCCTACTGCTAGAAAGTGAAAGTGTTGGAAGGACTCCAGCACAGCTTCTCCGCTTACACCAGCAACACGCGGAACAAGAACACGCTCGTTCACAAGTAGTAATTCCACCTTATACCGTCGACAGAGACAGTTGGCGGGGGTCTGACTTTCCTTCCTCACGCCACTTTACTTCCATTACAGTCGTTTAATGGTGTCGGTGATTACAGTATTGTGCTGCTGCGAGTAGTCTTTTATATGGTTAATTTACGAGTGAATAAGTCCCTTAAACCAGTAATGGATGCATACTTTGGCAATGATATACAGTATATATATATTTTTTATCCTCTTTGCCACTGATCAGCTCGTTAGCCGGGCGGTTGGCCACGTCTGTTACCATGTTACACAGTGCTGGCAAGTACTGGGCATGTACTGTTAGTTCTGAATGAACCTACCTGCTCCAGTGTTGGTCAAGTCTAGTCTTGAAGGAGCTCACCCTCGGTGGCAGATTGTTCCAAGAGCTTACAATTCTCACAACGAAAAAGTTTGCTTTCACAATTTTCTGTACTTGTGGCTTCATAAAATTTGAGTTTGTGATTCCATTGTGGGACGAGCGTCCGCCAGCTCCAGGTATGACACTCGACTCAGTAGTACCCTCTGAGATTTTTATAGACTTCAATTACGTCACCCCTTGCCCGTTTATAGTACAAGTTAGGCGATATAATCTCTGAGGTGCCGTAGTCTGATGGCTCGCCTCTCAACATTTTCAACTAACCGACAGTATCTAGTATATCTCGGGGACCAGACGGGATGACGGTAATCTAGACGGGGAAGCACCTCGCCCTATAAGACCTAGTTTAGTTACTTGATTCACCTTCTCACAATGGGCAGAGAACTTCAGTTCGTTTTCAACATATACACCCAGGCAGGTTAGTCTTACCCGCACTAAGTTTGGAGAAACGTTTACTTCTTATAGTTATTATAGAGGAACGTTTGTCTATTGTATTTGTCAAAAGTTAGAAAGTTGGTGGGTGTCGAGCCTAGTGCACCTCCGCTAAGATGTCAAGTCCCGCATTATATCTGGTGTTCTTGTATTGAAAGTAAATGTTTAATATAACTGTTCGCTCATCTGAGTTATCAAATATCATGAACCAGTTTTGACGCTGACTTCACACATATTATGCAATGACTGTAAATATTGTGCAACGTCTTCTCATATGTACAAGTTCACCTTCGTGTTGAGGATAGCAAGTATCGGAACTTCAGCATTTATAATACTGTATAATGCATTATTTTAATAGTAATGTACCTGTTGTTATATACAAAACATGATGGCAGTTGTCGATGGGTTGGTGTCACTACAGAAGTAACCCTCACAGCTACAATAAAAAGCAGGACATTAAAAAAAGTTATATTATCAAGTTGTACACGATCATTATGTGCTCTTACGGTTGTCCAGACACACCAAAGCGATGTTCAGTGCCCCGCCATACATTATGTAATATAATTATCACTGAAATTATTTTAACAGCCTCACGTATCTATACCGTCAAATTTTCCAATGTGTCTAGTATTGCTGAAACAAAAACCTTACCTTTAACTGTCTCAGGATGATAGTTTTGGTTATAATAAATGATTAAAGTCATTCATAATCACAACTGAACACGTTGCCAGGGAGACAAGTCACTGGCAACAGGATTGCACTTGAGTTTTAAATGAAGTTTTTACCGAAATACAACTCGCTTTTATTGTACCGGATACATTTCTACGTTATTTATTGCATAATGGTAACTTATGCTGTGCAAATTGTGTTCTTTCTCTCTCTGGAAGTTTAGCGTGTTAATCATGTTTTATTAATGTACAAATCCTGTTTTTATTCATGTATAAATCTTGTTTTTATTATTGTGTAAATGGAATCTTAACATGTAAATCCTGTTATTGTCTGACATGAAAGTTAACGTCTAAATCTTGTTATTGCAGGTATAGGTATGGACGACACCTTCGTGATGTTGGCTGCCTGGAGACGCACGCGGCTGCAGGACAGTGTGTCGGAGAGGATGTCGCAGACCTTCGCCGACGCCGCCGTCAGTATCACCATCACCTCACTCACAGACATGATTTCATTCTTCATCGGTGCCATCACACCCTTCCCCTGTGTACAGATCTTCTGCCTCTACACAGGTAAGGTGTTTCTCGCTCGATCGTAAGACTGGAGCCAAAACAGTTTACTTATACAGTGTATCATGGATAATGTCACGGTAGTAACTCATTGGCAGTTTGTACGTTTTTCCTTTAGTTCAGTTCAAAAGGTTTTTCTCCTTTCTTTATAAAAAGGACCAATGCTCAGTACATTATCATGTTACAGTATTATACAGTATTTGGATGTAAAGTGTATACTGTACTGGTGATTATTGTGTTTAACTTAAATCAATCAATCCGATATATCTTTTTAGCTTCACTTCCTACACGACTTTGTGGATTCTGACAAATGCCAGTAGTAGTGTGTGTTGCTGATAACATATTCAAACAACTAACGGGGTGAATAGATTATCCTGGGAAAATGCAAACAAAATTTCACAGTGAATCATTAACAACATCTGCAGTTTCTCAGCCTTGTCTCTCGAGTATAGTACTGTACTGTACAATGGTTTAACAGTAATAGCATCGACTTTGTTCAAAACCCCAGTATAGGTACTCCTGAACATGCTGACGAAGGATCTGTTAACCAAAATTTTATATCTGCATTATTACTTATTCAAATGACTTACAATTTTTGTCATTTTCGGAGTATGACAGTAGGCAATATGATGATCTTAAAGCCCAACTGGAATTGGTTGTCAATACCTATTCCAGTGACCTGGAAGCATGTGTTCTAGATGAGTTTTTGCAATTTAAAGACATTTTGTCTTCTGACTCTGACAGGTCAGTGACAAACATCTCCACTTTGCTGAGGTCCAAAGATGGTATTTTGACAACTGCCTTTCCAAACATTAGTATCTTGGTAAGAATTTTCCTTACCATCCCCATTACAAATTGTGAAGGAGAGAGGTCTTTCTCTACTCTATCTAGGGTGAAAAATCACCTGAGGTCTATCATGGGACAAACCAGATTAAACTCACTTTCATTATTATGCATTGAATCTGGCCTCCTACAATCCCTTGACACAAACAATATCATTGACAAATTTTCCATGAAAAAAGTAGGAAGAATTTATTTTGAAATTCACACAGTTTGCTGTACTTCATGTGCTGGCAAAATTGATTATGCTTCAAGTTAATTGTATTTCTTTCATTATTCCCATATATAAGATGTACATGATATAGAACTAATTTGATTAAAAGTAATGATGTGTCACATTGTGTTGAAATTCTTATTTCTTACATTATAATATTATGATATTATGTAATATTTGATGACATTTGGCCATTGCAAAATAATTACAGTAAAATAAATAAAAAATAATAAATATATATATATACATATATATATATATATATATATATATATATATATATATATATATATATATATATATATATATATATATATATATATATATATATATATATATATATATATATATATATATATATACATATACGGTATGTGTGTGTGTGTTGATTATTGAAATTTTGGGGGCCCACTGATGAGTTTGGCTTGGAGCCCACAAGTAGGTAAATCCGGCCTTGAGCAATGTGATTAATTAACAATTTCCAGATCTCTACTTTTACAGATAAAGTAGTTCTTATTAGCTTTAGTTTCATTATTAATTAATAAGTAGATAGATATTAATTCAGTAAAAATAATGAGATTACTTAGCAATTGACAGAATTCTACTCTTCTATATACTGTACAGTAATACTTGAGTGACAGAAAATTACGAACTTCATAGTTAATATGTATATATAGTTTCTAAGATGGATAAGCATTTTTTCTGTAAATCTTTCAAACATGTTTACAGTAGATTCAGTATGTACAGCAGATAGACACTGCAGGTAAAGAATGAGACGAAACAGTAAAAATATTTGATGACAAAGGTGTGTTGGTAGTTCTTTGTTCAGTGTGTGATGACCTGTTTGTTGCAGGGACGGCTGTGTTGGTAACTTACATCTGGCACATCACCTTCTTCGGGGGTTGCATGGCCCTGGCTGGCCACATGGAACATGGCCAGAGACACGGCTTCACCTGCCGCAAAGTTAAGCCAAAGTCAGAAGCAGGTAAGTGCCTCAGGTACTGCGTATCATGTTCACTTTACTATTAGAGCAAAGTCTTGAAAAAGTCATTGTCAGAGTCTGTCTTTTTCTAATGTTCACTTTACCACATAGTTAAACCAGTCTGAAACAGGTCAGCGCTACAGTCTACAGGCTCTGCAGGCTCTTTATGTAATGCTCAGGCTCATTTATATGTACACTCGCAACAAAAAGTATTGGTGCATACTGTATTGTGAACAATTTGAGACCAGTGACGATAGGTATTGGGAAAGGCGAGTTGTTCCAGCTGTATGTTGGCAGCCTTGAATGTCAGCCATATGGCAACACCTAGTGGAGGGGGGGTTATGAGGATACACTCGCCAACCTTCACGACATATCACAGTGTATACGTATCGTTTCGGAACTCGTCAATCTCACCCTGCACCGATACTTTATGGTGCGAGCACCTGATTCTTGTTTACTTACATCTTTGGATAAGAAATACTGTACTGCTGTAATGGTGTGTTTTGTTGTAGTTTTAACAGTAATTTTAACTCCTAATTAGTACAACCTGGAAGTTATTGAAACTTTTCTGACACGGATTTCCTTCCTTCTGACTCAAATGCAAACAGAATAAATAGAATTAACATTTGGGTTATTGTTTAGGGGGCGGCTCGTTTGTTACCACTTGTTAGTTAGTGTTGTGTTGATGTAAACATCCTTCTGTATAACAATTTACAGATTTTTTTACAACATTTAGGCACCTTACGTTCATCCTCTAACATCATTAGTAATGATGAAATAGCCGGTTGGTGTTGTACATAGCTGCTGTGTTTTATTACATATAAGTGACCACCAATTCTCTCGGCTTATTACTAATTGTAGTTATATGTATCCGTATTCATGTCATTGTAGTGGCTCTGATGAACATTAATTTATGTGGTCAACTTTTGTGGTGAATTAAATTGAGGAGAGGAACTGTACCACAGTGGTAAAGCAAAGCCTGGACCACCCCCGGGTACACTAAAGGCTGGACCATCCATTAACTAGGCATGTACTAAAATTTGGGTGTTTGTGTGCCAAACTGTTTGGCACCAAACATACTCTTGATCTGAAACTTCTTGTCCAGAAATAACCAATACAGTACAGATACAGTATGTGTGCGTGGATGTGAAACTGCAAAGAAGAATCTTGTCACACTGATATGGTTGAGGTCTCTTGGTAAGGGGAACCACAGCCATCTCAAGGCGTTGATCGTGTGGTCACAGGTCACAGTGTTCAGTCAAAATATATTAGTTATCTTCTTCATCCTACAGTACTGTATGCTGTATGTTTCCGGATTGGTTGATTACGGTACTTCTTGTTTGTGTAGTGTCGATAAGTTTTGTACTGGGAATGAATCTTTAAGCTGCCTGAACATGCTGCCATTATTTAGAGTGCTAAGTGAGATGTGCAACGAGCTTGCAGAGCCCCTGAAGATCCTGTTTTGTAAATGCCTGGATGAACAAATGGTCCCCAGTGAATGGAAAGTGGCTTATGTGAGTCCTATCTTCAAGAAGGGTGATCGTCACTCCACGAACAACTATAGACCGGTGAGCCTGACCAGCATAATATGTAAAGTACTTGAGAGTATTATCAGAGATGCCGCGATGGAACATCTACTACGAAACAACCTTGTAAAAGATTGCCAACACGGTTTTATGCCGGGGCGCTCTTGCTTAACACAATTGCTCAAGGTATTGGATATTTGGACCCATATTCTGGAACGGGGTGGTAATATCGACAATATTTACCTAGATTTTGCCAAGGCTTTCGACAGTGTACCCCACGAAAGGCTGAAAATCAAATTGGAAGGGTACGGAATTCGGGGAAATGTCCTAGCGTGGATAGAAGACTTTCTACATGACCGCAAGCAGTGTGTGGTGATTAATGGCACGAAATCGTCATCTGTACCTGTAACAAGTGGGGTACCACAGGGCAGTGTATTGGGCCTGCTGTTGTTTGTTTGTTTCATAAACGACATGCCTGACGTTGTACACTCCTCCATACAAATGTTTGCCGATGACGCCAAGTTATTTAGGGAAATCAAGAACCAAACGGACTGTGAAGAGCTGCAGAAGGACCTCTGTGGGCTCCAAGAGTGGTCGAAGACATGGCTGCTGAGATTCAATGTCACGAAGTGTAAGAGGATGCACCTGGGGCGTACCAACGGTAAGGAGGCGTATCATATGTCCCAACGGGATGAAGAAACTGCACTAGTTGAGACTGTGTGCGAGAAGGACCTAGGTGTGTATGTTGACAATGAGCTGAAGTTCTCGGGCCATTGTGAGAAGAAGGTAAATCAGGCAAATAAATTATTGGGTCTTATAAGAAGGTCGTTCAGATATCTAGACGGTCCGTCCCTCGTAACGATCTTCAGAGTGAAGTGCTTCCCCATCTGGAGTACTGTCACCCCATCTGGTCCCCGAGATATGCTAGGGACTGTCAGTTGGTTGAAAATGTTCAAAGGAGGGCCACCAGACTGGTGCCTGCACTTCGGCACCTCAGCTACCCTGAGAGATTGAAGCGCCTGAACTTGCCTAGCTTATACTACAGACGGGCAAGGGTGGGGACCTAGTTGAGGTGTATAAGCATCTCAGGGGGCACTACTCAGTTGAGTGTTCTTACTTGGAGCTGGCGGACGCTCGCCCCACAAGGGGTCACAGCTCAAGATTGAAGAAGCCGCAAGTCCAGAAAACCGTGAGGGCAAACTTTTTTGGAGTGAGGGTTGTAAACTCTTGGAACAATCTACCAGAGAGTGTTGTGACGGCACCGAGTGTGAGCTCTTTCAAGACAAGACTTGACCAACACTGGAGCGGGTTCAGGTACATTCAGGAGCCGGTGCATGCCCAGTATTTTCCAACAGTGCGTGACAGAGTCGTGACCAATCGCCCAAGCGGCTAACAAGCCGATCAGTGGCGAAGAGGATAAAAGTAAAAAAAAAGTAAAAGTTTAGTCCAGGCATGGGCAACCTTTCCTCAGTTATGGGTGACAACACAATTTAGGTATTTTTCTGCGGGTCAACCCACCAAAATTTATATCCTACCTAACCCAAAAGTAATGTGAATATTATATTAGCATGGAGCAGTTTATTGTCACGTCCTTGCGATATTTTCAGTTTACAATCCATCTTTTTTCCCATTTATAAAACAAATCCATCATAATATTTTTTTAGTAATAGGTTAATGTTTCTTGGCATTTAATGCTTGAAAAATTGAAATTACTCGTCAACTATGGGTTTCCGAGTCGCAATTTTAGTGTTATGGTGTTATTCTGGAAGTATTTAATTAGTTAAACCTTTTAAATTTCAATTCCAAGAGAAAAGTTTATTTTGGTCATAAAATTACCAAGATATAATGCTTAATGTTTTGGCGGTTTTGGGCAAAATTTGATTTCGTTTAAAATGTCAGTATATGTACTCCTGAGCATGCCGATGCTGAATCTATGATCCTCGATTCGATTGCAGGTTAATTAGTGGTCGTAATGATTCTTGGATAATTTTCATTACATTATTTCAATGCTAATTACTCGCCAACTATGGGTTTCCGAGGTGCAATTTTTGTGTTATGGTGTTATTCTGGAAGTACTTAATTAGTTAAACCTTGTGTGACCAATGCCTGTGACCCTACTTGGACTTATCCAGCCTTAGTTAATTCCCAAGTGACCCATTGCCACATAGCATTTAATCCACCATACAGATTGTGCCGAAGTTGGCCCATAAACTCACACAATTTAAAATGTTTATATTGTTGACTGTATATGTACTTATTTCACTGTTACATTTTTGTAGTTACGTACTCTTAGGTGATGAAACAGAAACGAATTGTATGTGAAGATTATTCTTTTAACAAATATTGCTTTACTCGCCATAAACTGGCTGCATCTACCCGAACCTCAGGCCACATTAAATAGAATTTCTCAATCACTCCACGGGCCGCACAAACACATGGTCTGGCATGGGCTGTGGATTGCCTAAGCCTGCTTTAGTCAATGACTTTTTACTTCATTCATAATGAATCTGTGAACCAGGAGTGTAATGATTCATGTGAACTACACAAGAGGATATTGATAGAGAAAAATATTTTCCCCAAGAATTGGGAACATGCAAATGTATCTCTTACTCTTATCCTCTTCGCCACTGATCAGCTCGTTAGCCGCTTGGGCAGTCGGTTATGTCTGTTACGCACTGTTGGCAAGTACTGGGCATGCACTGGCTTCTAAATATATCAGAACCTGCTCCAATGTTGGTCAAGTCTGGCCTTGAATGAGCTCACACTCGGTGCCGTCACAACACTCTCTGGCAGATTGTTCCAAGAGTTCACAATTCTCACTCTGAAAAAGTTTGCATCTGATTAAAATGTACAGTACACTCATGGTCAAAAGCTTGCTGCCGTCCAGAATGAAGCAGCATTGACCCCAAATGAGTTGAAACAATCAGGGTAAGTCAGTTTGGAGACTCATTCCCGTGACTCGGTTTCACACCACAGGGAGCCAACTTTTGTCCCCGACTGTACAAGAAATTATAAAATACAGTAATTTATACTCATAAAAACTGAGAACAATCACATATGACCTTACAACGCACAAAATGAAATACAGCTTAACAATTTGGTTTTTGGAGAAAATAATAATTTAACTGTACAATACAGTACAGAGTACTTCATATAGATCCAGGCCCACGGCATCACTGGCCCGAAGACAGGCAACAAAGAGTGGTCATAAATATTTGAGATGAATATGAAACTGTATGTCTTGGTTAATTAGTTATATATACAGTATACAGTTCTGCATTTCTGTTCATGTTTAGTTTGGGCACCTCCTAAATATTAAGTTACCAGATGATAATCAGTTTGCTGTACCAGTACTGAATTTGTGAGTTGTACTAATACAGTAGACTTGAGTACACGTTTTTCATTCTGCTTCTGTTGGAAGATAACAGCATACAGAAGTGAGGGAACAGTGCTTCAGTAGGCTGCAACACCATAGTAGGAGGAGGGCAGAGAGAGAGAGAGCGCGTGGCAGACGGTAACAGCAACATGTGGGTCGACTCGTGATTCACACCAGCAAGTCTGTGGCTGTGCTACACTTTCTCCTCATAATCTTAGACAGCACCACACTCCTTGGCCTGCCCTCACTACTACAGTACATGAATTTGTGAAGTCTTTGAAAATTCTGCATGAAAAGCCTGAGCACTTGTTTTTTTTTCTGTGAGTTTGTTTTTGTTTGTTTAAGTCTGGGTTCATAAGTACACCATTGATTATCTGGTATTTAGAACTGGTAAAATACATTGTATTGATAAATCTTGTTGAGAGGATGGCTTACCAATTGGGCAAGTGTGTGTATTCCCTCACCCCTCCTCACCCTACTTTTTCCCTGTTCTGACCTTCCCTCCCTCTTGGTATAGTGTCACATGTCCTTTTCATTATACAGTACTGTATTCCTTTCTCAGTTGATGATAGCTGCTGTTACCGCAACTGGTGCACTGGCGGCATCAGCAAGTCAGATCCTTGGAACCCACAAGACAACAAACCCCATGCATTTATGCTCTTCTTCAAGAATTATGTTGCACGTCTCCTCAACATTCCTGCCATTAAAGGTGAACTTCAGCTGCTGCTTTAATCCTCTAGTATTGAAGATACTGTATTTATATTTTTTAATTAAGCTTAATCAGGTTAACTCAGTACTTTAATTTGTTTTTGATAACTGATAACTTTTACTTTTATCCTCTTCACCACTGATCGGCTCGTTAGCCGCTTGGGCGATCGGTCACGTCTCCGTCACGCACTGTTGGCAAGTACCGGGCATGCACTGCTTCCCGAACGTACCCGAACCCGCTCCAGCGTTGGCCAAATCTGGCCTTGAAAGAGCTCACACTCGGTGCCATCACAACACACACTGGCAGATTGTTCCAAGAGTCCACAACTTCATTATTTTCAGGATTGTACATTACAATACAGTACTGTACTGTACTGAACTATTTTAAATGACAATTTTATTAAACACAATCCCAAAAAAGAAACTGAAATTGTGCACATATATTTACAAGCAAGATAATTTAAAGAAAGCTGTTAAATATAAAAAGATTACAAATTGATGATTTACTTCGTTTGTTCTTTTAGAAAAAAAATAAGTTTAGGGCAGATAAAGATGTCGTGTCTGATGAGAGGTCTGAATGTACACAGTAAAGAGACACACACTGTACTCAACTAGAGCTTTGAGTAATGTCACAGAACAAGACAAAGATGTGTACATACAAGTGTTAGAGCTTTTGTTCACAGTATAATGTACCAATGGGATGAAGAAACTGCACTATTTGAGACTGAATGTGAGAAGGACCTAGGTGTGTATGTTGACAATGAGCTGAAGTTCTTAGGCCATTGTGAGAAGAAGGTAAATCAGGCAAATAAATTATTGGGTCTTCTAAAAAGGTCGTTCACATATCTAGAGTCTGGACAGTCCGTCCCTCGTAACGATCTTCAAGAGTGAAGTGCTTCCCCATCTGGTCCCCGAGATATGCTAGGGACTGTCAGTTGGTTGAAAATGTTCAAAGGAGGGCATCCAGACTGGTGCCTGCACTTCGGCACCTCAACTACCCTGAGAGATTGGAGCGCCTGAACTTGCCTAGCTTATACTACAGACGGGCAAGGGGCGATCTAATTGAGGTGTATAAGTATCTCGAGGGGCACTACTCAGTCGAGTGTCCTTACTTGGAGCTGGCAGACTCTCGCCCCACAAGGGATCACAGCTCAAGATTGAAGAAGCCGCAGGTCCAAAAAACTGTGAGGGCAAACTTTTTTGGAGTGAGAGTTGTGAACTCTTGGTACAATCTACCAGAAAGTGTTGTGATGGCACCGAGTGTGAGCTCTTTCAAGACCAGACTTGATCAACACTGGAGCAGGTTGAGGTACATTCAGGAGCCGGTGCATGCCCAGTACTTGTCAACAGTGAGTAACAGAGACGTGACCGATCGCCCAAACGGCTAACGAGCCGATCATTTGGTGAAGAAGATAAAAGTAAGTGAAAGTAAGTGTGTGTGCGTGATACTCTGGCAGCGATACATTCATTAATGCCTAGTTTTACAGTAGTAATAAGCATGTAAATAACATTTATTGTCGGCAGCCCTGGTGGTGATGGTGTTCCTGATCTACCTGATGGTGGCTTGCTGGGGTTGCACCATGGTCAAAGAGGGACTGGAACGACGTAGATTGTCTCGCGATGACTCCTACTCTGTTGACTTCTACGATAGAGAGGACCAATACTTCAGGGAATTTCCATACAGGGTGCAGGTGTGTACAACTGTCTGACTCCTCAATTTGTCTTAATTTCTTTTGGGAATATAATTTGTTTGTACACAGTAAACTTAAATAAGAACTTCAAAAATATATTTGGTGTTATATTATAATCCATTTTATGGATTTTTTTGTTTGTTATTGGTAAATTTGTGTGTTTGTAATCATGTCTGTGTTTACAATCATGTCTACGGTAAGCACCTGTTGGCCTTCCTTGTCTTTAATAATATTTCTGTCAGTCTTTCTTTATGATAAGTTTGTAGAGTTAAATCATACTGTACAATTAATTTCTTTGGTAACTTCAGGAAACTTAGTACAAAGGCTGTTAATTTTATTTTCTTCATCACTGATAAAAGAAAAAGAAAAGTAACAGATGTGACCGATCGCCCAAGTGGCTCCTGAATGTATTGTATCTGCTCCAATGTTGGTCAAGTTTGGTCTTGAATGAGCTTACACTCGGTGCCATCTCACTCCAAAAGAGTTTGCCCTGAAAATTTGCTGAACTTGTAGCTTCAACTTTGAGCTGTGACCCCTAGTGAGGCAGGCATCCACCAGCTCCTGATATGAACATCCAACTGAGTAATGCCCTCTTGAGATGTTTATAAACTTCAGTTAATTCACCCTTTTGAAAAGTGTGTCTGGCAGGGTATAAAATTTTCATGGTGAATTTATGATAATACTGTGTAGTCCTTCTATTACTTCATAAACAATGTTGGACATCTGAGAGCTGTTTTACTACAGTGTATTTTGTCTTTTATTAAACTTCTTTTGTCCTTCACACCACAACTGTGGGAAATATGTCGTCACATTAAACGTGTTACTTTTGGGTTGAAAGGCAACATGTTCAGTAAATAGAAAATAATTTCATCCATATACAAGGGGTTACAGCTCAAGGTTGAAGAAGCCGCAGGTCCAGAAAACTGTGAGGGCAAACTTTTTCGGAGTGAGAGTTGTGAACTCTTGGAACAATCTGCCAGAAAGTGTTGTGACGGCATTGAGTGTGAGCTCTTTCAACACCAGACTTGACAAACACTGGAGTAGGTTCAGGTACATTCAGGAGACAGTGCATGCCCAGTATTTGCCAATATTGCATAACAGAGACGTGACCAATCGCCCAAGCGGCTAATGAGCCGATCAGTGGTGAAGAAGATAAAAGTAAAAGAATAATTTAATGCTGCATCCACACTATACAATGTTTAAAACAAATTTTTCTTCATAGGTTGCAATAACTGGAGACTTGAACTACAGTGATCCTGAGACCCAAAGAGACCTGATGGAACTGCACTTAAAATTCGAGAACATGTCTTACGTCGCTGGTCCTCTCTACACCGAGTCGTGGCTGAGAGCTTGGCTTGGCTTCCTTGAGAGAAACCAGGATTACTTGGGAATTAATATCACAAGTGAAGCAGACTTCTGTGCTAATCTGAAAGAGGTATATGAAGTTGTATCTACAGTAGTGTTTGATATTCACATTTGCTATTACCGTAGTAGATTCTTAGCTTGTTGCCAGTTAATTGTTTTTCTTGCTGTTGCCAGATATTATAACTTAGATAAGATGGCCTTGGTTGTTAATAGAAGTACTGATTTAAGGGAAAAATAAGGAATATTAAGATTTATTAAACCCTTACTTACATACATACATAAACTGTAGTAAATGTTAATCAGGTTTAGGGATCTTAAAATTTCAAGTTGCATAGTTATTCCAAGTCATAAAACAACTTCAGATAATAATGGAGCTCTTCTTTCATCATAGTCATAAAATTAGATTCGATTATAATCCCCCCCCCCCCAACTTCCTACACTTCAGTATTCAGTTGTCCAGTTTGTAAATGTGAAATTTTATTCGACTTAATAATGACAGTAACTAGTTAGTGATGACACTGAAGAGGCATAAATTCCTAATGTTTATGACCATTTTACCATCAGCAATATAAAATTAATAATTTAATGATATACTGTAAGTGGAGAAAATCAAAGACTTACTCACTAGTTATGGTCAAAATATAAAGTGCTCTTGTAGTATCTCTCATCTTTTCCTACTTGGAGATTGTCAGTAATCATATACTGTACTGTGCACACACACACACACACACACATGCTCACAGAGTATGACATAGTAACATATAAGCACACACACAATGTTTATATATAATACTGTACTGTAGTAGGTCATAGGCACCTATCAAACAGGGAGGTAATGCTGCCATATGGCATAACAAAAATTGTGACCAAGTCCCAGGTTGCTCATCTGACTTTCTGCCTCATTTACACACAATTGCAGGGTCTCGGTTGTTTCTCTTACTTTGATAACACAACATACAGTAAACCCTCGATAACTCGGCACATGTGGGACTCTGGCCTTGCAGAGTTATCCCAAATTCCAACTTATCGAGGCATTTCCTGCCTCCTACAAAAAAAAAAAAAAATTATCGACCCATATATGTGTACACTATATGTAATTATTAAATGTAAAAAAGTAACGCTTACCAGCACTGCAGGTGAAGAATAAAGCATCATAGTAGGAGATATAGATGCATGGTAGGTGACACGGGGATGGTAGGTGACGCAGAGGCATGGTAGGTGACGCAGAGGCATGGTAGGTGACGCAGAGGCATGGTAGGTGACGCAGAGGCATGGTAGGTGACGCAGAGGCATGGTAGGTGACGCAGAGGCATGGTAGGTCATGCAACTCATTAACTCAGGGTGTGGTGTTTGTGTTGACGACAAGGTTTACACCTCAAACAAATTCACGCCTAGGTGACCCTAAAGCCGGCCATCCTCGTTACAGATAAAAGAAAAGGGAAAGTAATCAGAGACGTGACTGATCGCCCAAGCAGCTAACGAGCCGATCAGTGGTGAAGAGGATAAAAGTAAAAAATGAGGGGCAACCATTATAGGTGATGCAGGTGGCCAGATATGTCGAGATTTCCCAGATAATTTTATATATCTCGGCATTTCCCAAGTTATACTAATAACTTCCGAGACCATATCCATGTGGAGTTATATGAAATTCCGAGTAATCAAATGCCAAGTACTCGAGAGTTTACTGTACTGAATGTCGTTTCTCACTCATGATCTGTTTCATTTATTTTATTTTTTTTTTTTTTCTGTATTAAATTGTTTTATTTTTTTTATTTTTTTATTTTTTATTTATTTTTTGTCCCCAGGCCCCAATGTGGGTTGGTGACCTGTGCCCGGGTGGGCTAATCCCCATAAAAAAAAACTATTACTGTATTGAACTCTGTGTTCTCCATTAGATATCGAAAACCTTACTACTGTACCTGTATATGTAATGTCCTAAAATATTTATACAGTATATACTTGTTTAAAAAAGCAAAACCAAAACATTAACCCTATCCTTCTTCTTCCTAATGTTATGCTTTCTTTTCTCAGATGTATCTATCAGGTCCAGCGAATCCATTTGCCCAGGATGTAAGATTCAACGAGGATGAAACTAAAATTATAGCGTCCAGGTTTATCGTCCAGACACACAAGATCCTTGATGCTAATGCTGACAAAGACATGATGGAAGCATTACGCCAAGTGGCATTAGATTCTAAATATAATGTTACAGTGTTCAATCCATTCTTCATATATTTTGATCAAGTGAGTACAGTTGCATTTATTATTGTAAAGTTCTGTTGCATTAAAGTGGTTATTGCAATGATAGTAATTATTTGATTACAAATTTATGGTAATTTTATTCTTTTCTTTGCAGTACGTGTTAGTAAGAACAACCAGCATACAAGCCATCAGTCTTGCTGCTGGTGTGATGATGGTGGTATCACTCATCTTTATACCCAACCCTCTGTGCTCTCTCTGGGTAGCTTTCTCCATAATCTCCATTGAAATTGGTGTTGTAGGTTACATGACTTTGTGGGGAGTTAATCTGGATTCCATTTCAATGATCAACCTAATTATGTGTATCGGTTTTAGTGTTGATTTTTCAGCCCATATATCATATGCATACCTTGCTGCTAAAGTGGACACTCCTGAGGAACGTGTCGAGGAGTGTCTGTATGCCCTTGGCCTTCCTATATTACAGGGTGGCCTCTCTACAATATTAGGCATCACAGCACTAATTCTTGCTCCATCTTACATATTCATAACTTTCTTCAAGACTGTGTTCCTTGTCATATTTTTTGGTGCTATGCACGGAATCTTTCTTTTACCAGTCCTCCTCTCTCTCCTGGGTCCTGGTTCTTTTAGTAAAAGGAAACCCAAGGATATTACACCACCATCTAAGGCACATGGCCATCCATTCTTTGTGCATGGTCAAGAAATTTCTCCCAATCACATTGACCCCAACAGCCTGAAGATTCCCCGGCCACACAGTGTAACTGCTGTGCACAATGGTGCAGCGGGCTCACAAGTGGGACCTGTAGCTATGGGACGTTCTGGGCCCTTCCTGGCTTCGGGTGCTAATGGCATGCTTGCATCCAACAAAGATGATAGTAATAGTCTAGAAAAAGACTTGGGCCTTGGCACTTCTGGTGAAGAGTCAAGTGAATCGAGCTTGAGCAAGGGAGTAACAACACGGCGTGGTGGTCCAGATGTTGTGAATGGCACTGCAGGACGTCCTGGACTCCCAATATTGGAGGTATATAGTAATAATGGATATATAAGTGACGACATGGAAGCTGAAGAACGACGAGCACAGGAACGTCGTCTAGATAGATATGGCGAGTGGGAAGACCCACGTCGAAGTTATCATGTCCACCGTTCGTCTGCTGATTATTCATCTTCACGTGCACTTCATCAGGAACGTCCCCGCCACTCAAGCTCTCGTGAAAGGAGCGTGCAGCGAAGTGAATCGTCAATAGCACGATATACAACGTCACGTCCATCTTCAGAACCAAGGGGACGACACCGTGACTTCCACTAACAGTGTTACGCTCGGGCGACCATGTGCCATGGCCAAGTGTACAGTGTACATAGTTTAGTATGAATGGACAGGCCCAGCACAGCTAGTCACTGGGCAGAGCCTACCCTTTTTCCTCCTCCCAGGGTACAGTTTTACCCCGCGGATATGTGCCATTCCGCCCACGTTATGACTCTGCCAGTATCCTCCAGTCCTGCGCCATTTTCATTTTACAATCTTCTTAGATTTGTGTTCTTATGTTCTACTAAGAGGATGTAACTGTCATTGATGTGTTTCTTTGACTAATATGAAGGGTTGCTGAAAAAAAAAAAGGGAACTCGGGGGTATTTTAACAGAGGAAATATCAAAATTGAAGGCAATATTTTCCACAAAACATTATAAATGGTGCCTTATTACCGAGATCTATTAAACTGATTCTGATTTGGTAAAATTTTCACCTCAAAATAAAAATGTTGGTGGTTGAAGGAAACAAATTTGAGGATGAACTGAATTTTTCAGTGTTGGTAGTTGTCCGTACAGAAGGAAAAATGAAATGAAATGCCAAAAAATTTTGTCTTAGGGATAAAAAGAAATGTTCATCAGACTGGAAGGCAAAGGAAAATTGTATGCCAGTTTGATCAATATTTTTTTTCTATGTAGTGTCTGACAGTGAATAGTCTTGTGTATTGATGACTAATTGTTTTATTATGTAAATGCAATCTATAAATGCTTCTTGTGCATTCCTCATTGAAGATTATCTGCTCTTTTACACATTTCCATTATCAAGTTCTGTAGTTTAAAGAAATTTTCTTCAAAGAGGAGCTGGGGCACTGGTGGGCTACAGCTGGCCAAGGCTCTAAATCAACCCAAGTTTTTTATCGCATTATAAAGTAAACTGTATCAGTTACCACATGTGTGGGCGATTACATTATTGTGCTGTAAAAATATTTTCGTGAGTTTCTTTTTAAAAATTTTACTTGTGAATATTTTTAACAACTGGACCAGTTGTACTTGATGAATTATTTTATAATACTCCATTTTATTAATGTTTTGTTTTAGTTTTTAAGTTTTTCTGCAATAATAAACTCGAGACATTGTCTTGATTGTACATAGGAAAAAAAAGGTTTTTCTGTTGTGTCCATATACAACTCTACTGCACAATATCAGCTAGTGCTTCCATGTCCTTCATAACAGCTGGCTAAAAGACATAAGTGGTGCTCAAGCTTTTCATTGTTGATGGTGTTAGACACAAAAGTACAAAGTACGGAGATAGAAATCCAGTGAAGTTATGAGTAGAACGAGACTCGTTAAATTTATGTACAGTGCAGTAAATGGTCAGAACTGACATTTCTGTAGTATTTATTGTGAGAGTATGGCAGGATTTCACTTATCTTGAAGATGTCATCCAGAATGTAATTTTATGTATGTAGATTAATAATGTACTGAACTGGCTGACTCATCCCAGTTCATGTAAGGGAAGTCCAAAAAGTGGCTTCTAAATATGATAAAATTATTCTTTTATAACAGTAAATATTTTTGATGACACAGTTTCCCGTAAAGCTCTCGAGGGTACACATTAAAACCTTTTGTTAAATGTGAAAGTTTGCTATAGTGTAACCTCACGAAATTCAGTATTATTAAGCTCTTCTACGTTTTTCATATGTAGTGTTAGTGTCACTAATAAAATAAAAAATCTGACCATTATTGTTGAATCATAAAACCCAGAGAAATAAGTTATATAAAATTTCTAAAATATACAGATATCACTCAGATCTGCAATGATACATCACCACCTCCAGACAGAATAAGATTTCAAACTTCAGCCAAACCTTAATTAGTTTTGTAATGCTAATTACTCACTACTTGTGATTTTCACAACCAATTTTGTTTTTGTTATTCTGGTTATACTTTATTTAAACATGTTAATTTCTAATTCCCAAAATTTTTGGGGGTGATACAAGAACACCAAGGTGTACACACCCCTTACTGTTTTGTTTACGATCTTGAACATTTGAGCTCTTCAAAATATCGTTTTTTAGTGCCATTAAATATTGAGGTAAAAATGCTATCGGATGAATGTAATAAAAGTGAAAAGAAATTATAACAAAATACTTTGGGTAAGAAATGAAAGTGAAGTACAATACACTATATTAGACAGATCTTGTGGCCCTGTTTTTTCTGAATGGTGGGTGATACCCTAATAAATAAAAATCACTGCAACACGTCATCTCAACCCCATGACACATTAATTCCAATGTTTGGTTGTTACATGTCCACATATGTGCTCGATACATCTGTTTTATAAACTAGATTCTGGCATTTGTGTACCAACGTTAGATTGGCTGGTTTCTCGTTCTGTGCTCTTTGAAGACTGAGAATCTAGAGACTTTCTTCTCATTGGGTTAATAATAATATATATATCTATATATCTATATATATCTATATATCTATATATGTGATATAGCACTTGTGTTGGCCCTGAAGAGGGTAACTAAAATCGGAATTGGCCCTCGAAAGGTATGGAGTTTGACACCACTGGTGTAAGGTTTTGCTGAAAGTCACAGTATGGGTACTCCTGAGCTTGCTGATTATGAATATGTGCTCCACGATTCGATTGCAGAGTAATTAATGGCCAAAACAACCCTTGAGAGATTTTACTGACATTTTTCAATGCTAATTACTCATCAACTATGGGTTTCCAAGGTGTGATTTAGGGTTTGTGTGTTATTCTGAAAGTACTTAATTAGTTAAACCCCTTAAATTTCAATTCTGAGAAGAAAGTATATTTTGGTCAAAAATTTTGTAAGGTGTAAGACTTACATTTTGGTGGTTTTGGGCCATGAGTTTGACACCCCTGGTTTAAATGGTCGTAAAATGGGAAAATTGAGGTTGGGTCTTGGGTGCCTGGAACCGATTAGAATAAATCCCATAGGTTTTGTACTTTCGTTATCACACATTCGGCGCGGTCCCAATTAGGCGTGATAACCAAGGGAGGACTGTATTTCATTGTTTATTTGTCTTTTAGAATGGGTTTTTGTTTATAAAATGTCACAGAAGTGACCGGGGAGAATATAATTTACGTAGCTAGAATTCTTATAAGATGGTGATTAATCTGAATATAATCATGCTATAGTTTGCACTAGACAAAAATTTTATTAATCATTTAGTACAATACTGTATTTTGAGTACATGTACAGTACAGCTTTGCCCTTAGGACAGTGTAGCGTGCCCAGAGAAACATTAGGCGCTTTAAATCAATAATCTTAAATTGAATTGCTTTAAATCAACGTTCTACTGTACAGTATTAAGAGCAAAAACATTTAAACACGCACGAACGCTGTGGAAGCCTAACTAAAACTGGCAAAACTTGGGGAAGCTGTGACGTTCCGCGAGTGAGAGGTAGCGCGGCAAGACGAGAGCTTAGTGCGGCAAGAAAAGAGGGGGTGATGTGCTGTAAAAAGTAGTCAGTGACGACGCTAAAAACGTTATATTGAGTCGTCGGGATGTTAATCGAATTATTGGTATATAAAGAGTAGTGACGTTATAACGAAACGTTATCGGAGGCAACGTTAAACAAGGATTTACTGTACTTTTTATCATGACTGTACATTACTTTGACTTCCCCATCTTCCTGCAGTGACTACTTGATCTTTTCTGATCTTTAGCTAAGCATTCACATATTGTTGGTTGCTGCATAACCTTTCAATTTATTATCCCCGAGCTCTTTGCCTTTTTTTTTTGGCCAAATGGTCACACCGAGTGTTATGTACACATTACTATACTGTACTCGGTTATTTGCTAGCTTCCATACTTTTGTGTGCTACTCCTGTACAAAGTCAACCACATTTCTGAGCATCTGTCCGACTGATTGATTGTCTGTCTCTCCAGGTTCTTTATAATGATGATGTCTCTGCATCTGTAACTGTTCTTGTAAAGAATTTTGCTGTCTTAACCTTTTCTAGAATTTTTTTCTTTATCTTGCAATGCCAACATTGAGATTATTTCATTCTGAATGCGAGGTCCAAGATAGTGTTCGTGGATTTCTTCATTTTTGATGCGCTGGACATGTTCGCGCATTGTAGGATCAAATTTAGTAATCATTTCAATTAATCCCAGAAAATTACCATTGTTAGGTTCAAAAAGTCGTGCATGTGTTCCATGAAAAGCAGAGTTGTCCTCGGTTAAATATTGCACAGCTGCTATAATACGTGTCAACACCGATCGCCAATGTTTCTTCATTGCTTACCTCTTGTAACATGTAATCATCTATTGTATTCATTAAACACAATTGTTTCTTAACTCCAATCCATTTTGATAAGTTTAATAAATGTTCATTAAACAACTCGAGACCTCAGTCTCAGCTAAATGCCTCCAGTCTGCATAACCTCCCTTTATGAATTTGAACTGTACAGTTTACAGCAGAAGCAAAAAGTTGCATCAACCTTCTTTGAGTATACAGTATAAGCCAACATCTTTCATACATTTCCCCATTTGGCAATCGTCGCATGTAAAAGTCGTCTGAAAAGTGTTTTCACCATTTTTTTTAAACATAAATTTTACTAGATACCTTAACAGGTCCCTCTTCTACCAATATATCAATTGTGGCCAGTTGACTGGATCACATAGATCTTCCTCAGCATGACCATAAGCGTAGGTAGAACTGTCCATTTTAAAGGCCTTAGTATTTTTTGCAGTACTCCCCCTCTTCCTCAGCTTGAATATGACCCACACTATCACCATCACAGTTGCTCAGGTCCTTTTTTGCACTAGTTTCTGGTGTTTTTGAAAACACATATTTTTCTAAGGAACCTTTCGTTGACATTTCTCTCTCCCTTTTTTTTCTTCCTTTCTCTGCACCCTAGATGTATTTTCTGTATCTATCTCTATCCCTCATGGCCATAGTATAATAAATAAAAAGAGGGCTGTGTACGATAGTAAAATATTGTAATGTACATCAACAATTTCACAAAACACAAATCACGGACAACTGGAGATTCAGAGTTTGGACAACACCGACAGGTGACCGCTGTCAACATCCTCACTCCTCTTCGACAGAGAGCACAGTAAAGAATGACAATGTTCTCAGTCTGGGTGGTAAGATGGGGTGGCTTAATCTTACCTTTAACCTCATTTCAGCAGATGCATTACCTAACTGTGCTGGTCACTAATCCTTCAGGTGGTCTCCTGAATCTGGGTGGTAAGGCGAGGTCAGCCTAACGCGGTCACTAATTCTGGTGTGTGAGGTCAGGGCCGCGGGGCCCCCACTAGTGTGAAGCCCAGGGCGGTCGCACTGGTTGCCATACCCTTGGGACGGCTCTGCCTATAACAGTAATAAAGATGATATCTTACCCTAACTTTACTAAACAAAATATTTGTCTAAATTGCTTCAGTAAATTATTTATCTTTCTGATAATTCTCTAAGTTCAAAGATCCTTTGTAAAGTGTTTCTTTGGACTTACAACTAAAATAAGAGAAGAAAAATCATTTCTTAGGTATAAATGTGTATATTTGGGAAGGTTTTGATCAACTGCCTTCCATATTATGAGGAAAATGCTGTAATGCTTGGTAACCTGTCAAGAGTACACAAATAGTAAACATAATTTTATGCACGTAAGTACAAAACACTCATACACTAACATGTAACTTGGAAATGTTGTAATCAGATGTTAAACATAATTTATACATGGACTCATGTGGTAACAACTGTGTTTCTTGATTAGTCTCCCTAACAGCCAACACAACATACAGTATATTCATCACCATGCAATTTGCTCAAACCTACTTGTGTATCAATGCTGGGCAATACCAATGCATAAGATCTAAACAAAATTAATTCATACTCCTGAATCAAAACTGGCATATTATACATTACTCTGATGCTGTCCACGAATTATGATATGAAAAGGACTACTAATATGGTGATGAATAAAGCATACATATAGAAAATAACCTAGAAGAATCTCTAACAAGAAGAAAACTACTGAAGTAATAAAAGTGGGAATAGCATGAAAGTTCTTTGCTGAATACTGTCCTATAGGATATAACACTAACATGACATTGTGGGCAAGGCATACAAAGGGGGCTTTTGAGTACCTATATACAAATGATAAGATGAGGTGTCTCAGGCAGAGGAGTGGCAGCTGTGGGCAAAATTTCCCTGAGATGACTGTGCAACAATCAACACTGCACAGGTGAGGATGAGGCCACAATCCTATCAGTCACATCTTGAAGCATCCTGTAAGGTGTATCATGCCCTTTTGAATGAGTAGATGCAACCTCTATCTGCCTTGCCAGCAGCTGGTCGAGTAACACCAAAATGTAACAAGTCAGGTTGAGATCGCACTAGACCAGGTACTGTTTAAACTCTTCTCTACAGAAAATCTACCCTAAAATGTTTGTATTCTCAATTAGTTAACATTCACATCAGAATCACTAATCAAGACATACAGTACTGTACAGTGCCTAAAACACATATTGTAGTTGAAGCCTACTTACAACTCACATAGACAACAAGTCTTTTACTGGATAAGCCAACACATAACCTTGGACTGAAAATAGTACTTTTCTGTAAAATTTTAAGTTAATGGATCAAACCTGATAAAAAAAAACCTTCATAATGGATAATTTGCAAAAAATAAAATTTTTATTTATATTTACAGTTTTCTTACAGTGTCCATGAGTAACACCACTCAAACACTAAACTTGGTTTTAGACTTTGTATTGCACACACTTTTCAGCTTCTCAACACACAATATGAAACTTTTAGTCCAGTTTATGGAGGTCTGCAATAAAAAAACACAGCAAGTACTATATATAAAAAGTTTTACTTACAGTTAAAGTTAGCACTCAGTATTTTGTTGAACAGACCATTGCACTCTCTCACCTCATCACTCTACTGGGTTGGGACCAGAGCCCAACATTTTGCTCTCATGTGAGCAGAATCTTTCATTTTCAATTCTAATTTACACTAGAAAATCAGTAATAAATAATGTAAATACATATGTAATTAAAGCTCCACAATATATACGTGAAAGACAAGAGTATACAACACAAAGGAAAATTATCTAGAAGAAATCAAATCACTTTTGGAACATTTTTAATTTACCCTCATCCAATTAATTCTCTATAAATAAATGAGACGAGTTTATAAAGAAATATTTGCTACAATCTTAAAATATGAATCCAGTAATATCTTCTGCCAAACTGAGAATATTACTCTTATCACAATCACAGAAGAGGAACAAGCCATTTTATTGACACATTTTCTGTGTAGTAGTGAACAAAGATGTTACATGCACCAGGCAGCTCTGTGAGGACTGTAATCACTCATTAACAGAGCTTCCTTATAAATTATTTTTTTTTATATTTCACCTTCTGTATAAACCCATAATGTTCAGTGCACCCTTAAAAGAAATATTATTTGCATGTGCTAATCATTATTTTTTTTAATTATTCTATCTTAACACCCATTAACCTAGGTCTCATATCTGATTAAACAAATGTATACCAATACACAAAATTAAAGTCTTTATTCTATATTGAGGACCGGTCTCTCCCTGACATTACCTAAGCTAGTGATAAGTCTGAATGATAACATACTGTTCACATGATGGTAATCTAGTCCTGGCTCCATGACACTTTATTTCTATTAACACAGCACCATGCTAACTGGCACTGTTATCCAGCACTCTTATACAAGGTTATAACACAGCACCATACTTACTGGCAATGTTACCCAATATTCTCATTCTTCCATTGAACTGTCATTTTTACAAGTTTCACTGAGGTTATCAATTATCTTGTTTATCTGGAAAACAGGTTGTTGTCCGGAACTCTCCTCTACGACCTCAACACCACTGTCTGCCAAAGAGGGGCGTGGTCCTGTGAAGTTACTTGTGCTGGTACCACTGCTACAAGCCATCTCTTCCTCACACTCTCCCATATGTTTAGGTATTCCAGAATCCACACAACCAAAGTCTTGTGGCAGGTTCAAGTCAAATTTTGTGCCTGAAGCAAAGTCATTACAGAGTATTTGAAAACAACAACAACAACAACAAAAACTCAATTAATAATTACCAAGACCACTACTATCACTACTGTGACTATTATCACTTCTTCTACTCCTACCACAATCCCCATTGAGACTTCATCTTAAATAACTAAACCACTTACCTTGTCTGTGGTAGAAGAGCAGATATGCTGTGGAGTATTCCTCTTCCCGGGGCTTCTGCCGTGTTACCGAGTCATCATTAAAATAATGCCATTCTCCCGTTACTGGACTACGTGCAAAGGCTGTGTAGTGGCCAGCCTGAGCAACTGCAAATAAATATTACCCTGATAAAACCTTTACAATTTGACTCGGTGCAATCCGTCACTTTTATACTGTACAATTATAACATTCTTTATGCACAAACGATGGTCGCTATACACAGTTGTTTATGATAACTTAAAATTAATAAACTTCTAATGGAATATCATCTGACAATCAGGAATGAGGTCAATTATTAACTGAATTGGAATTGAAGGAAATATTTTTTAAATGAAAAGATTTGAATTTCAATTGATGCGATGAATTGATGTTATTTCAAAATGATAATTCCAAAATGTTGGTGTGGCCAACATATTATTGATATTTTTCAAAGTTTGTTCAACATATCTAAAGTGTGAAACCAATTTCACACTTGAATGTTTTGAAGTAACTAGGTACATTGTTTAATGTGGGAATCCAGTATGACACATTTAATATCTTGCTGACAATTTTGGACAAATATCAGTCAACTTGCCAAACATGAAAAATATTAGAAAAGAACTTCATATAAAAACCTAACCAAACCGTGTTTTTTTTTAATAATGAAAATCAAATACAAAAAATGAATTGGATTGGAATTTGAAAATCACATGAATTGAATTAGAATTTATGATTTCTTTTTCATGACTTGAATTGATAAATTTTATTTCATCATTGGATTTGAATTGGAATTGACCCCATTCCTGCAGACAATATGGAAATGAAAGAACAATAAATACTGTAGAGTATATGATCTGACAAAGAGAGAGCTGTGGTGGATAACAGTCACCAGGAAGTGTGCAGATGCAACTGTTATGACAAGGAAATGATGTTACACTTTGTCCTGCTTGCATTTCTATTTTATGATTAACTTCCATTCCATAAATATTACTAAAGGCGTCATCAACAAGATCCTCCTTTCACTACTGGACGTCACTTTTACTATTCTATTTTGGGATTAAGTGCGACTTGAATTGACCTAAATAATAGATGGTTAAATTTTTTACCTGCTGAATCTGACCAAACTATTCTCAAGACACAGACTGGACAGATTGTGTTGCAGGCAAGAATAATAAAAAAAAGAAAAACGATGAATCCCTTGTGGCGGGATGTCTCAAGTACTTGAAACTCTTGTGACTCTGTAGGGCTTTTGTTCAACCAACCATATATTACATGATGATTCCAAGGTAATTATTACCAGTGTTTAGGCAACATAAATTGTAAAGTAGAGATGGCCAAAGAGTCTGTGACCATGTTAGTCATCATGCGGTAAGTTTTTATTATAAGCTTTGCAAATAACACTGCTGCTTACTTTAAGGTGATTACACATTATGCAAATGACACTATTGCCTGCTTGAGAAGTATGTTTAAGTAAGGTATATTATGAAAAAGTTAATCTATTTTAAAGTAAAAATAGTGCCGAGACACCAGGAGAGAGCATATCACTCACCACCCGTGTGACAGACGTAAGCATAAAGGTTGTACATCTTGCGAGAGCCGTTTTCACTTGCCACATAGTCTGATACATCTAAGCCATCAAGAGGGAAGATCACCTTGTCATCCAACTTTGTGCTCATTGTTCCATGAAACAAAAACCTGGGAAAATATGCCATAATTACAAAAAAGTTTTAACACTGCATAACTGCAAAGGATACAAGAAACATGAAGGTAACTTTGAGAACAACATACATAAAGAAAGTGTGAAGGTTAGAGTGGTGATAGTATTGAGGAGTGTGTGAGAGTTAGCACTATATGGTGGTGTGTGAGGGCTAGTGTGGTGTTAGTATGGAGGTGTGTGTGTGTGTGTGTGGACAAGAACACCCTAAGGAAAACATCAACAATGATGTGAATGTGCACAAGATTTAATTTATACACATGGAGGCCAACTAGATACAAACATATCGAGAATGTTTTTAATTTAGGTTTAGTTGGGGACACTGCAACAGCACAAGCGACCACTCACCGCTCCAAATGAATGATGAGGTAGGGAGGGTAACGCCACACAGATATGGTCTTTGTAGCCGGTTGTTTACGCTCACACTTGGGGCAGAACCACGAGTCAGTCTCCTCTAAGGTCTCACTGTAAGTAAAGAGACAGATATATTGTTAATACCGTGAGACTCCTGTCGAGTAGAAACACATGCAGAGGCATACCCAGGAGGGGGGAGCAAGACAACACAATAAAAATAACTGCATCACAAATTGAATGGCAAGCTATTCACGCACATACAGAAAAATATTAATTATCTCGTATTTCAACAACACCTCGGTATATTTCATTCAAAGTTCGCTTCCCTCAATGGCAAATTTCTGGGTACGGCACTGAATACAGGTACAGTATCCTTTGTTTAATAATGGGGTCGCGTCCCCAAAAACCGTAGCGAGGGATATCATGGACTATTACCCTTTGGAGATGGCATGTTGTTATTGTTACATGTAATGAAACTATAAAATAAGAGCCCACGTATTAGGCGTATAATCACTTGCCATACATACACACTCATGCTTTTAATTTTTCTATCTTATAGTTTTACATTATATTTTCTTTTCTAAGCCACATTAAAGTATTGTAATAACCTGACTCCAACTTTTATAATTTCACTACATGTAACAAAGGCACCCTGCTATCTCACCTCAACCCAGGTGCTCCCCCCATCAAAGAGCGTCAAGTTATCGCTAAAGAGAATTTTGACCTCGACTTAAGTGAGAAAGTGTCACATTTTTTATTGCTAAGCAAAATTAATGTTTAGTGAATTAATGTTAAATGAGGGATACTTATATACTATACTTGCACTGTCTATAATTATATACTGTGTACCTGCATTGTCCATAATATATGCTGAACTCTACTGTATCTGCAGTATCAATAATGTACATGCTGAAACAACTGACTAAACACCTATCTATCTACCTAATACTTCCACAAAATTTTATCTTACCTTTGTGTGAAGGCTCGTAAGCAATCATACAAAGTGAGAGGCACATTTTGCCGCATATCCTTCAGAGTGGGGTGATCAATGGTTGAGGCCAAGATGTGGCACTGAGCAGGAGTGAGACTTGTGAAGCGAACACACAGTGTATCACCGGCCTGCAGAATAACCTCAGACCCACCCAGTACTTCACAACCACGACAATGTGAAGAAAACAGGCAGCGGGAACAATTATATCCCTGAAAAAAAAAAAAAAATTGAAGGTAAAATTTAACGAGATGTTAAATGTATATTTTTCTTAACCCTGATAACACTTATGATGTAATATAAAAAAATTTCGAGTACAGTATACGTGCAAGCACTCCTTATTTTTAAGGCAATTCTCTAATACTGTATGTATTAAAACTGTAAATATTTCACCGTCTTTATAAATAACCTACAATCTAGGAACTTTTTAATCTCATTCCATCAACATTTCTTTACTTAAAAAACACTCAAATAATATTTCAAATAAATTCAAAGGATAGATATTGTTGCTGCTGGGTGATGTTAGATAATGCGAAGTGACATGAACAATGTTAAAAACATCCTAGGGTCTTGTTATGGATGGGAAATAGCCACAACAACACACCAAATACAGCGGTAACAATGAAACAATGGGAATAAATTAAGATATAATTTGGGTTTGCTTTTAGTGCTAGCAAAAAATATTACAGGTGAAAAAAAATTAAGGAGCAAACTCACTCTTCTATCATCAAACAATGAGAAGTAAACTCACCCTTCCATCAACATACAACAGGGAGTAATTGGTGTCAGGAGGTATTCTGAATGCCAAGGTGCGGATCAGCGATGCTGGACTTAGCCGAGAAGGAAGAGCCAGTAGCCCAGGGTGACCCATGAGCTGCATACATCTCTTGTTGTTGTTATCACTCTCTTGGTCCATTCTAAACACCAACGGCACACGCAATAATCTAAAACAAAAGTTGTATGTTCATTAGGTCACTATTTGCTCAATATATAAGAACTGATTCATCCCCAAAATAAATTCATCACATTTCTTCTGGTTCATATCTTATTGTCAAGGAATTCAGAGTCTTCTACAACTGACAACAATGGCTCCTCCAACTACTGTAGAAAAAAATTTTCTGAGACAATTCAATCAGGTTTTCTAATGCTGGAGGAACATAACTTTTATTATAAAAGGTAAACTGCCTTTATTAACAGCATCCTCTGGACGTGTACAGTTCTTAATGGATTGTAGTAAAATAGGTAATCTGTTAATTTCCTGAGCAGTGTACTATACTGATGTTTCTAATCTCAAAATGTATAAAATATATATTCTGTACTACTTTACCCGTTGTTATCAATTTTATAGACTAATACATGTTTAAAATTTCTTGTTTTTTAACTGTCTTTCTTTGTTTCTATTTTTCACTCCATTCTATGACTGGCTAAGGTCTTCCTCAGAGGGTTGGACTCAAATTGTAATGGTAATATCTTTAATCTACTGTATTTTCATTCTAACAATGTATCTTCAGTGTACACTGGACCTTCAATAAAGATTGATTTTTGGTTCTTGAAAACCTTAATCATTTGTAAATCATTCTTTATTGAACTTTACTTCTTATGGTACATATGGGATCACGAAAAAATTTAAATTTATCAAAACATAACCTGAAAGATTACCGAGTGTTTTAGTACGAGCGTTTAACTTTAGATTTTGTTCAAATTTCATATACTGTAAAGTTACAGTACTGTACTGTACTGTACTGTACTGTACTGTACTGTACTGCACTGCACTCCTTGATATGCTGGTTATGGGCCTGGGTTGAAAAAATTTAAATGTGATTAGGTAATTAGTATTAATTAGTGACTCTTAAAACAATTAGAACACATTTAGAATATTTAAAACACTAATGATGCTGTGCCTGTAAATCTTAAATCACATTTTATATGTTTAACCATTTAAACGTTATTTTCACTTTCCCGATACAAATACATGTACACTTAACAATTCTCATAAGAATTTTACTCAATTAATTGAATGAAGAACTTAATGGATTCTGTAGTAATAAACTGAGTCCTCTCAATACACAAGGGGTTTTATAGAGGCTATGTCACCTCTGTCAGACCTGAGGAGACTTGGAGCTTATGTAAAAACAAATTAAGAATGCCATCAATCACCTCTACTGTGCATGAGAGATCTGAACAAATCACTTGTATGAAAACGATAACGGTTACATTTGGATAAATAAATAATCCTCAGAAGTATAAGTAAATGCAAAACATTTTTAAAATAATTTTCCTATGTTTCATTACCTGGCTTTTGGTTTTTCAATTCTCCTCTTCTCCACAGGTATTAAATCAGCAGGTGTGAGGGAGACTTGACACACAGGGCAGGGTAAGCTCTCTCTGCCGTGGTGTTTACATGACATCTGTAATGGGACACAAAGTTGATCTAAAGTTCTGGAATTGGGTATTTTATTCAAGTGTCCATGAGGGTAATGGTGGTGATGATGAGGGTGGTGAGGGTGGTGATTGATGATGAGGGTGGTGGTGATGAGGGTGGTGATTGATGATGAGGGTGGTGGTGATGATGAGGGTGGTGATTGATGATGAGGGTGGTGGTGATGAAGTAAACTACAATAATTGATTAAATTAAAATTTCTTTTGTGTTTTCTGTGCAATTAAAAGAACGATAATCAAGGTTCTCACTGGGTCAAACAAGACCATGAGTGTTACTGTGTACATGTCCAACACACAATCCTGTGACCAGAAAATATGTCAAAATAGGTAAAAACAATTAACTAGCTGATATATATTTCAGTATTATGCAATTTTCTTAAAAAAGTCAACATAGAGTATATGAAAATCTGTTAAGGGAAATAGATGAACAGTATAATACTGTGTCATTATTTACACACTGGGTCTAAAAGTCTATCTATAATGTGAATACAGTCGGCCCTTAACATACGCGGGGGTTACGTAACAAGAGATACCCGTGGATGTTAGAAATCCGCGTATATGTGCTGCCCCCCCCAAAAAAAACCTGGTCCCCCCATGTCCTTATTTACCGTATATACCTGTGTGTAGTTCAAGTTTTTAAGACCAAATTATTTGGCAAAAAATTGGGGGTCGACCTCTAAACGGGTAATAGTTTCGTTAGGTTGAAAAATATTTACCAGTAACTACCAGTAAACAATGGAAACGATGCACCAACGCACCACCAGCTGTGAGTATCGGTACAGTTGCCAGGGCAGATTTCTTGCGTCATCATAGCAAGCCCAAAGTAGCCAAATCCATGGTATGGTAGCACAGGACGATGTAAAACAAAGTATTCATTTATTAAAGTTTATTTATAGATACTGTACATAAATTTTTTTTCATTACATTTGAAACATCAATCTTTGTTAATTAAATTTGAAACAAAAAGAAAACTACGATACCGTATTTTCATTAAAATATTACATCACAAGTATATTTTACCTCAACTGTGACTGAATGAATATAGGTATTCTCAGAAATAAATATGGAAATATAATATTTTTGCTGGAATGACGTACATATTACAGTGGAAAGTGGGATAAAATCATGAAAACAATGACTTTCACTTTCTTTCGTTATTCAAAAGATTTTACCGTAATCGCTTTTCGAATGGTTTTCAGTTAAAAAACTGTTGTACTCGTGCTGTATTACAATAATATTCTATCCTATCATTAGCCTTATAATCCCACAACTGAAAACCATTCGAAAAGCGATTACGGTAACATCTTTTGAATGAAAGAAAGAGAGTCATTGCTTTCGTCACAATTTTATCCCACTTTCCACTGTAATACGTACATCATTTCAGCAAAAATATTACATTTCCATGTTCTCAGAAATAAATGGTAGTTTTGTTGAAACGTAATGTACAATATTTAATATTAAAATGCAAAAATAGCTATAAAAACAATTAATACACCCGTAATGTACTGGCTGGCATCTCCACTCGTCCCTGCTCCCGCGTCCAAGGTCACCACTCCTCCCAACTCGCTCCCTCCTCTACCTCCTCTGCCTCCTCCACCCCCTCTGCCTCCTCCACCTCCTCACCGTCACTACTGCCGACAACGAACACAAATGTTTTGTGAATAACTGCACCTCCACTTCCTATGTACAGTACTGAACTGTACTGTGCTGTGCATTTTTACAAACAATAAACATGGCAAGAAAAGCTATTAAAAAAAAAAAAAAGATAAAAATTTCACTTTACTGTACAGTTACCTATCCTCGGCGACAGGACGGGGGTCATCGGGCTCATCGTCACTCAATTCCATAACGGGTGGTGAAGTGGGGGCGACGGTGGATTCAGCTGCTTCCTCACTGCCGCCAGTGATTGATGGTGTTAAATCTCTCCTTCAGTGATCAAAGAACATGGTGATGGGGAGTTGTCGTCTCTTTCTTTCATTTCTTCCATGATGTTTTTGTATGGAGCAAAAACGTCATCCATCCCTCGCATGAATTTCAGGGCACGCACCATGGAGGGGTCCATACTATAGGCCAGGTTTTTCAGTGCCTCAATATTCCTGGTCATCTCCCCCAACTTCTCCAACGTTATTTCTTGGTGCTCTTCCTCATCCTCTTTCCCTTTCGCTTCCTCTTCCTTGCCTGAGTCTACTAACTCCTGTAGATCCTCCTCGGTCAGCTCAGTGTCGTGCTCTTCAATTAGCTCCCTAATCTCGTCCTCTGCCATGTCCTGGAAGCCTTCAGCAGCCACTTTCCTTGACAGTGCCAGGGTCTTTCTGAATATTTTCATTAAAATCCATCAAAATCATTTTCCTTGTCATCATCTTAAGCACCAAACAGCTCCTCCCAGTCTTCTCCTTGAACAGGGCTAGAGGGTACGTGTTTTTCGAATCGTTTTCAATTAAAAAAATGTTACAGCACATGTATATTTTACCTAAACTGTGCCTGAATGAATATATTCTCAGAAATAAATAGTAGTTTTGCTGAAACGTGATGTATTTCAATGTAAAATAGGATAAAATACATGACGAAAACAAAAGACTTTACCTAACCTTCCAATGTTCAAGAGATATTACTCGTTTTTTAATAGTTTTCGGTTAAAATACTGTTATATTACAATGATATTATATTCATACTGTGCTTGATATACTACATTCACGGAAATGTAATATTTTTGCTGAAATGACGTAAGTATTAGTGGAAAGTGGGATAAAATCGTGACGAAAACAATGACTTTCGCTTTCTTTCGTTCAAAAGATGTTACCGTAATCGCTTTTCGAATGGTTTTCAGTTAAAAAACTGTTGCATCACAAGTGAATTAGGATAGAATATTATTGTAATACAACAGTTTTTTAACTGAAAACCATTTGAAAAGCGATTACGGTAACATCTTTTGGACGAGAGAAAGCGAGTCGTTGCTTTTGTCACTTTCCACTGTAATACGTACGTCATTTCAGCAAAATATTACATTTCCATATTCTCAGAAATAAATAGTAGTTTTGCTGAAACGTAATGCATTTCAATGTAAATTAGAATAAACTACATGAAAACAAAAGATTTTACCTAACCTTCCGATGTTCAAGATATGTTACTCGTTTTTTAGTAGTTTTCGGTTAAAATACTCTTATATTAGTGATATTCTATTCATACTGTGCTTGATATAATACATTCACGGAAATGTAATATTTTTGCAACTACAATGCTGATGTCAACACAAGCGTGGTTACAGCGAGACTGACTGAGTGAGGGAGAGCTATGCGTGTGTGTGTGTGAGAGGTTGCGGGAGTGGGCGGTGTCCAGTGTTCGGTGCCGCGCGTGAGTTGAATGGCGCGCGATTTGAATGTACTTCAATTACTTCAATGTACAGAATATTCCTCCGGCGGGGCAATCCGCGTATTTGCAAATCCGTGTATTATAAACCCGCGTATGTTAAGGGCCGACTGTATCTACATAACCTGTCATGCTTAAGAATATATACAACAAACTAATCCTCAAAACTTCCATTTCAAGTGAAGATGATACAGTACAGTACTGTGATTTGATTTTGCATGTAACAAATAAAATTAACACAAGGACACAAATCTGTTTCTAGACCTAATCATTTTTTCCACTTACCTCAATACAGCCATCACAGAGTAGACAGTCTTCACACGTGTGGTGGGTCCTCAGTTCCGTCTGACACATTTCCTCGAGACAGATGTTACAAGGTCGCCACTGGCTACTGCCGCCACCACCACTGCCACTGCTGCTACTACCGCATGCACCAATGGTTTTGTTGATACTGCTGCCTTGTTTCTCTGATGTACCAGCAACCTGAAAACCAGGCAGTCCGTACTTACTGAACATCTTTGTTGTTCATTTTCACTACAAGTTAATGAAAAAGAGGAAACAAGAAGAAAGGGGGAGAGGTTACCCCAAGCTCTCAGACATGAGGAGGAGGCATGTCAGGTCTCGCACAGGTAACCTTTTCCCGAGCTCTACATTCAAAGTTTGTAGTTAACATCACATGATAGCTTTTTAACAACAGAAAAATACCTAAATCACAAGTAATATTTAGTGCTGAGCTTTTTCAAAGATGGCTCCTTACCTCACCCGATGTTGACTCCACTAATACCTCGGGTGCTTCCTCCTCCACGCTGGGTGGTGGAGGAGCCAACTGGAAGGCGTATATGCTACGAAGATTGTAATTGAGAAATTTGGTCATGTAGCCATCCTCCTGTAAAGACAGAAATCTTGTTGTAAACATGGAACATGGCCATAAAACGACGATGTATCACGTCAAATAACACTAGCAGTCACCAGTAATGCTCCTACAAGTTCTAATAACATACCAGCAGTTAAGAAAAATTTCCTTCACTGACTTTTGGAGAAAATAAAAACTTTCTCATCAATTACAGTACTATGGAAAACAACTTTATATGACAGCCATATTGTTCTTACCAGATCAAATTTTTTCCAAACCAACCATTATCTTGACACTTCAATGATCCTGCATGCCAAAACTCTGATCAACCAGCTCAGAGTTTCAGAAACCATACAAGATATACCATAGTACTTATTTTCAAAATAATATCTCTTGAATAAATCTGAAATGCCTAACTTATATTATCATACCTACCAACTATGATTACTACTATTTAAATCATGCTGCAGAATTCTTATCATTATTACACAACATTGTTAAGTTTTGGACTTTTTTACAATCAACATAAAATATAATGGATTCTTACCACTATGCGGGCAATGTGGTTGTCAAACACCTCAGCTGTTACTAGATGTTCTGCGGTATTTAGACCGACCATCTTACAGAGTGCAGCTTTGAGATCACTAACATACGAGACCTTGCACAGAGTAATGAGGTAGCGCGTGGGCACACCACCACAACTTTGGACATAGGCTACAGCTGCAATAAAGCAATATAATGTTAGTTATAAATTTTAATACAGTATGCTAGATAAAAGGCTTTAAGGAGGTAAACTTTAACTCCCTTCACTATGGGGTTGCCAGTTTTATTATTCTCTTTGGCCGATGCCAAACAATATCATTCAGTACGGAGAGACCCATTGTACCCAAGGGGTTAAGAACACACAGTACAGTTAACCCGCTAATAACCCTACAGTAATACTACACACACCAACCTTCCTTCCCTAATACCACACACGCACTTTAAAAGATCAATAAATCACTACTAATAAAATTAAATAATTTTAGAAAAATACTCACATATCTGAATTTGATTAGCGTATGGGAGAGGCACAGAAAGGGTTCCAAACGGGTCATATTTGACTGACTTGTGTCCACAAGCTGAGCACACCATCTGTGATACAATATAAAATTCAAAACATTAATAAGATTCAATTACAGATCATTAACTCCAAATTCATAACCGTACTTTCTTCCCCACTTCTGTTCAGTATATTCAAATAATATAAACTTAGAATTCTATCTATGTTATGAAGAATAAAACAGATCACTGGAAAACCTTGCCAGTGTCAATCACAGTACGTCCTCCACATCTTACCGAGCTCTTAAACTGTCCATAAAAGGTTTCAACAACAGCACTCTTGGCATCACCAACAAAAGATCGCCACGTTAGCTCCGCTTGCCGGTGTTCGTGTGACGACACAGAAGGTGACGGAGCAACGTGCAACTCACTCTCAGAGGTGGATGTAGAACTATCCACAGTTCTGTCTACAGTCGCCACCTGGTATTTTTCCAACTCGTACTGGACGTTTTTCTCCTCCAGACGTATACGTTTATTTATTGCAAGCTCGTCCCTGTTGTCTAGTTCTTCACTATCAAATTCTCCTTCAACCACCATTGGCTGACATCCTCTTTTATCATGGAACAGATTCACTTCTTTAACACGTTTTGTTCCGGATTTACCTAAGTTGTCCAAACTATTTTTTAATCTCGACTTCTCAAACTTGCCGTACTTTTCTGAATTAAATAAGAGTTCGTTATTTGCTGGATCATCTTTAACCGAAACATTAACATTAGAAGTTTTGGACTCTTTAATATTATCGTCTAGTTTAACAAGATGAGAATGAGGAAACTCCACATCACAATTCTCCGTTTTTTCTGGTCTATTAGCTAGCAAGCGTTGGTTCTTCTCCTGCCGTAGAGATTCATGAAGGTGATTCTTCTCCAGGCTGGATGAACTATCACAGTGTAGTGTCTGAAGACCACTGTTGGGCACCAGGTTGTGAGTGGTGCTGATATCACAGTCTGAACTATCACACAGGTCACCTGCGCCTCCTCCCAACTGATTGTACCGCCGGATGCTGCTACTGCCACACACTTCCGCTGGATCAGATATATCCGACGTCACACTCTCCGCGTCGTGGCAACTGGTTAGGTGAAAATAAAATTGGAACCTTAATTATCTGACAATATCTTAAAAGAAACTGAATGAATGTAAATAAGACAACCCATCATGGCAAGACATCTAGTAAAGCCAGCATGGCTTCTTGACCCACCAAGTCTCAATAGTACAGTAGTCTTGTCTGTTTCACATATATATATATATATATATATATATATATATATATATATATATATATATATATATATATATATATATATATATATATATATATATATATATATATATATATATATATATATATATATATATATATATATATATATATATATATATATATATATATATATATGTGTGTGTGTGTGTATGATAACTATATGAAACAAGAAAACATGAAGTCCTGTCACTGCACTACATTCAGGGGTAGAGTAATTGTATGCACCACACAATACTCTTTAAAAATAAATCTTATTTAAATTGCAAAAATGTAATTGGTAAACACTTGATTAGAAATTATATGTAGGTCGACATTTTAAGCTTGAAAAAATCAATCCAAAATCAGAGGTCGACTTATATGCCAAGTATAAAATGTGAAGCTTTACTACAGAGCGGTAAACAAATGGAACAGCCTGCCTAACACTCGCTGTGCATCACTTAGCGTAACTCCCGTGGCCTGCCGCTAATATTTCCTTCTGAAATTCACGTTTGGTAAATTTATTTGACATAGAGATTATAATAAAATAGTAAATTCCAAATAAATTCAATTACAAAGAATTAAAATTAACAACCCAATTACACAAGCAAAAGTTTAAAGGCAGCAAGAAAAAACGAATATTGGAACACAGTGATGACTGAAAGGTAAATGTTGAAGATTACAAGTCATGTTATTCTGTGATCATGACCAAAATAGTGTACCATCACTGGCATAAATGGCATCTCCTTCACTCCTGCCACACAGATGTTTTTTTGAGCCACCGAGGCCAACAGGTCCACAATCTGTCAATATTACAATGAAACATTCAACCAATGACCAGAAAAATAACAGTTACCCTCATACCCAACCATACCGCTGGTTTATGGAGAAATTACCTTGTAGTCCCTGCGAGAGAGAGGTCATCACAGGAGACATTCATTTGAGTAGGAATAAGGGCACGCACTTCTTCAGGAATGGGCTGCAATCTAAGGTTGACAAGATGTGCATCAACAGAACTGCTCGACACACTGCTCTTGGGTGAAGCGGCGCCACTGTCTAAACCAACAGTTTCCTGAAATGTGAAAATCACTTTGTTGAAAATATTTTCTATGTGATTAAATTCAATGAAGTGTTAGGATGTGACATGTGACCTTGGGGGATAGGGTGAGGGATGAGGAGACGGGTATGAGGCATGAGACGGGTATGAGGAATGAAGTTGAGGGGAGGTTTATAAAGTTTAAGATGAGGTATAACAAATTCCAGTATCTAGAAGTTTGATACAGAGAAGTAAGAAATTCTTACTATATAGTTTAGGATATATTTCAAGAATTACTATTGATTTATGGGATGAGAGAGCACAGACTCAACACAACCATGAATGAGAAATATTCTTTACACACTTCCTGAAAGAAAAGATGACATATATATATGAATCAGTAGAGAAGAAATTCAAGAGTAGTGAGTAACTAATGAAGATTATTGTCACATGTGTATATTTATCCTTTCCATAAATTTGTAGGTTTTTTAATTGGTACACCATCGTGACATCTGATAATATTAGTGCGAGACCAAGTAATTACAGTACCGTGTTATTGCCCTCCCCAAAAACTTTCAAAATGCATACACATATTTTTGCTAATTTAATGAATTTTGATGTATGGCAAGGACAAAAGTTGTGGTGATCCCTATTATTATATGCCGGTTCCTTTGGTTCACAGTTTTCGTTACACAATATTCTCTCCTGTCTTACTACTATTAAGTGATTGAATCAATAACCAACCTGACCATAACTTAATCTCTCCTGAAGTAATATTATTATTTCTAGTCATAAAAATGATTGCTTTGCTCAGAGCTTTGTATAACTTTACCTCTTGTGGATCACTGCGAAGTTCTAGTGGCTGCTTGAGTAAATGAAGTGACTGCGGAGAGTTTGGGCAGTGAGGCGAGTGAGGGGAGGTAGGACAATGAGGCGAATGAGGGGAGGTAGGACAGTGAGGTGACTGAGGGGACGACGGGGAGGAACAGGAGTGGCTGCCCCTGCTGCCACTTGGTCTGTTGCTACTACTGGTACAACTGCTGCTACTTCTGCTGTTGCTGCTGCTACTGCTACTACTACTGCTACTGCTGCTGCTGGCAATTCCACTGCTGTCCACAGTTGCATTATTGGTCTTCCGAATCTTGACATTATCCAGATCTAAGCTCCCCCCACCATCATCAGACAGGCACATTTGCTTGCGCAGTGTCTCAAGGAGGAGCGTGACAAACTCTTGACAGTCGTGCTGCAACGTTAAGAGTGATGTCATTCATCAAGGCTAATACTGTACTCACATCAACATGGTAAAGCTCAATAAATCTAATCTTAATACCAAAGCAGCAGTGTTTTAGGCAAGACTGATTTTATCCTTACTGATACTGTCTTTCAATTACTGTGTGATTAAAACTGGTACTGTATTATAAGGTGCAGTACAACAGAAAAAACAAATCTTGGGTCCCAAAAATATAAAGGTCTTTGAAACGATTATTTGATATCAAAGGTATAGAGTATTGAAGGGGAGAATTCTAGGTTTGGGAAATAACTATCCAGCAGTGTGACCATTAGTTTTGTGGGGTCTGTCAATACTACTGCCTGAATCCTCTGTGCAAGATCAGAAAATCTGGTAAAGTATAACACATTAATACTTAGGAGTAAAACTAAGAATGGATACCGTAGTTCAGAGTTATAGAGAACTAAAATAACTACACGATTCATTTTGTCTGTTAAAAATGATTTTAACACTGGCTTTAACGACTCCGTACAAGATAATTAATCTCAGAGACACACTTCAACATACATCCCAGCATCACAAACAACCCGTCTTACCTTAAATACTTCGTCAACTTAAAAATCTCTCACTTGTCTATAATCCCGGAAATCTCTCCATTGCTGCCCAAACGCATCCTTGAAGTCAGCTGGCCTCAATGACGAGTATTTGCCGCACCAGATCTTGTGTGTTAGTTGGGAGAATTGTCCAGCGAGGGAGTCCTTGTTATTTACATTACTGTGATAGTTGCTGAAGAAGTACTGAGAGGGAAATAAAGATTAACTATAGAAACACATGCACACATCCACGCCCACACTATAGGAACACCCACACATCCACGCCCACACTATAGAAACACCCACACATCCACGCCCACACTATAGGAACACCCACACATAGACAACACCCACACATCCACGCCCCACACTATAGGAACACCCACACATCACGCCCACACACAGGAACACCCACACATCCACGCCCACACTATAGGAACGCCCACACTATAGGAACACCCACACTATAGGAACACCCACACATCCACGCCCACAATAGGAACGCCCACTATAGGAACACCCACACATCCACGCCCACACTATAGAAACACCCACACATCCACACACCATAGGAACACCCACACATCCACGCCCACACCATAGGAACACCCACACATCCACGCCCACACTATAGGAACGCCCACTATAGAACATCACACCACACCATAGAAACACCCACACATCCACCCATAGAAACACCCACACATCACGCCCACACTATAGGCACACACACTATAGAACACCCACACATCCACACCCACACTATAGAAACACCCACACATCCACACCCACACTATAGAAACACCCACACATCCACACCCACACCATAGAAACACCACACATCCACACCCACACTATAGAACACCCACACACCCACCTATAGGAACACCCCACACCCACACATAGGAACACCACACACCCACACTATAGAAACACCCACATCCACACCCACACTATAGAACACCCACACACCCACACTATAGGAACACCCACACACCCACACTATAGAACACCCACACACCCACACTATAGAAACACCCACACATCCACACCCACACCATAGGAACACCCACACATCCACACCCACACTATAGAACACCCACACATCCACACCCACACTATAGAAACACCCACACATCCACGCCCACACTATAGGAACACCCACACTATAGAAACACCCACACATCCACGCCCACACTATAGGAACACCCACACATCCACGCCCACACTATAGGAACACCCACACATCCACGCCCACACTATAGGAACACCCACACACCCACACACCCACACTATCGGAACACCCACACATCCACACCGACAAAAACACATCCTTAGTGACGTTTAAATAACAGAGTAATATTTCTTTAATCATTTTACTCAATGTGTAATGCACTCATACTTAATGCAATTATGATCCTATGATGCCTCCATCTAGTGAATGAAAGCTGTCTGTGCACAGTGGGCGAAAGAAGTGAAAAATTACAAAACATAAGACTTTTAAGTTTGTATATACTGTACTGTACACAATATAAACTATTAACACAATTTTTTTTATTATAATCCACATAAAACATGCTGAGTCAAATACTAAACTGCATCATATGCTGCAAAATAACTGCATTTTATTTTCAGCATAAACCACTCTAGGTAATGTATCACAATCTTTGCAATGGTTCTTTCCATTTTTCAAAACACAAGAACAAATTACATCATGAGCTAAGACAGGGTGTGTGTGCATATATTATCTGACCCCATTTTAAAACTTAATAACCTCAAATATATCATAGATCTATAATACTTTTGAGGTTATCAAGTTCTAAAATGGGTCAGGTAATTTATAGAAACCCCGTAAGTTTACACAAGACAATACTTTACGTTGATTATACACCCGTGAGCAGATTCATACATCGAGGGGATATGAATAAAGTATCTGGGTGACCCACCTGAGCAATAGGTGGTGTATTCACCAGGCACTGGATTCCTGCCGCCATGAAGCAAGTATTACCCAAATTCCGAAGGCCACATATGCCACCAACTGCATTTTCATCTGTAAGTTAAGAAAACAATGGATGGCCCATCAACAACCAAAACACTTCATGTATTAAGACACAGAATACATAATTATGTATGGGATTTATATCAACAAATATTGTCAAATTTTAAAAACTAAATAGAACAAATAAACATCACAGAGTTCTTTACAAGATACAGTACTTTCAGAATAACACAAAAGCACACCTAGAAAACCCATAGTTAGCTAGTAATTAGCACGGGAATAATGTCAATAAAATCTTCAGAGCGTCATTACCACTAATTATCCTGCAATCAAATCATAGACCATAGATTTGGAATCGGCATGCCCAGGATTACCTTCACTCAGATTTTCAACCAAATCCAAATTTTGGGTGTAAACCGCCCAAAAAGTAATGTAATGCCTTAGTAATTTTTTTCACGAAATATACTTTTCTCTCAGAATTGGCATTTTAGGGATTGATCTAATTAAGTACTGCATAACTGACATATTACCACTGTGGATCAAGAATGAAACTGAACATTTAATAAGAATAATCTTACCATACCTGTACCACTATAACTTTACCTGTTACATCACCATAAGTGAGAGCTCCTGATTCATGGATTGGGCTGTTAAAAGTTCCTGGCATATGGGGACCATACACAGGACCAACACCAAAATCTCCCGGCTCTAACCCTGGCATCTCACTCAAACCTGTCGAGTCGGCATTATCAGGCGGCTCATTGTTTAGCATGGAGTAACCCAGTCCTGGGTGAGAGCACTGACTCTCATCAGCCCTGTTAAAGGTACATAGTGTCAGCATCTTAATAACTGTAAAATACAATACAGTAAAAGCAACTTCTCATTTGTTGGTCAAAATGTTATCACAATCATACCGTATGATACCTACTATAATCTGTTCACTCAAACTTTGCAACTGAGGCCTAGGGTCAGTTTGTACCAAGGCAACCGATTGGCTAGCGGACAGACAAGTAGAGTCGGTACAGTATATAATCTATTCCATTTATATTCTAATATTTCGAAGGATAATATCTATTTTGTGTTCATCTCTGATAGTTTCTGCACTTGGGGAAGTAAAAATTAGCTTGTGAAAAGCCCTGGTAACATAAATATCATAAAGAAAACAAGGCAGAGTTTACGTTGCTTAACTTTCATGTTTGTGTTCTTTTTATGACATTTTAGTCACCAGTGCTTTTCACAAGCTAGTTTATGCTTCCTCAAGTGAGGAAATTATCAGAGATCAGCACTAAAAAGTTATTACCCTGTATCTTAAAATATCAAATTATAAGTACATTAAATTAACTACTCAAGAATTGTAGTGATTCTTTGTGTGTCCTTCCACCAGCCAATCAACTGCCTTGCTACAAATTGACTCAAGAGACGTCCAAAATGGAATAAGAATATCAGCGAGACACCATTATAACTATAGCAGATGCATTTTTCTCTCATCCCTATTATAGTAAAATATTAAAGTGTACACCTCTGCAAAGCATAAATAATACTGATTAATCATTAACACAAACAATTAAGTAATTTCCCATTAGCAGGACTCTTCAATCCCCATAAATCTCCAATAGGCTGGAGTGGAAATCGGGCCAGGAAAATTCTTTCCATATTCCGGGCCTGCAAACGAATTTCCGAGGATGAATATCTCTCTAAACCTCTCCATTCTGGGCCTGGAATTAAATTGCCTAGGAGTACTAAGAGATTGTATCATGCTCCAACGCATCCCCACATGCTTATTTCATATTCTGCTGCCATTGTAGAAATGAGTTCTCTTACTAACTGCTGTTTTTGCATACAATTTGTGTTGTGCAGTACTGTGCATTTCTGTACCAAGACACAGTCAGTGAAGAAAGAATAATGTGTTAAAAACATTATTACCATGTAAAATGTTATTACACTCATGTATACTGTACTGTACATTCAGTAAGTGGGAAACACTGGAACACCTTGACTTTCATATCTATTTAAAGACATCAGGTCATGAGACCCACTAATCCCTCTTCCCAACAATGGATGACCTGACATTGCACCAGGTCAGTAATATGAGCTCACTAATCTCCCACCCCACCTCTCCACTGCAAATGAGAGTAGTAGTTTATATACAATGGATGACCTGACATTGCTTCAGGTCAGGTCAGTAACACGAGAGCCACTAATCTCCATCGAAAGTGTTAAGACATAATTATGTTCAGCAGTGCATGCCTACTGTAGGCTCAAGATGACAGCATCTGCTGGCGAGTACAGTATACTCGTATACAGTACTGTACAGTAGCAGTATACTGTACATCATTTTGTTTATTTACAATATATTGTAAGTGTACAGAGGTGTTTGCAAAAATAAATACAGCTCTTGTGTTTGTCGGTGCGAGATGTGTAGTTTAGACTCTTGGGAGGTAAACTTACCCCAGTGCTGAGTGGGAAATTCCACTGTCTTGGCCGTGACACACAGCTCCATTCACACCTCACACGCCTGTATCTTATAATTTTTTTCTTAAATACTGTATATTTATTTAACCAAAGTTTGAAATGAAATACTGCATTCAAGATTATTGGATTATTTTAAAAAAAAGTGCTTATAAATTAATTAGAACCGATTCTATTAACTCTGGTATCAAAATGTATTTATCTTAATAAAAGAATGGAGTCCCCATCATTTTATTATGTCAAAATATTTTGTTTAAGGATCTATTATTGGAACAGTCTGCAGAGAATTTATTCAGGATCATTATGGCACCAAATTCATTTCTCTAACACAATTAGAAAAAATATACAGTATACACTTTTTTGCAAGACATAATTAATTTCACTCATGCCTGCAGTCTAAATGCAATACCCTCTCTTAGACTCTTGGAAATTTTTCTCAATACCCAAAAAAATTCCACATTCCTGTAAATCTCTCATCCCCGGAAGAGCTCTGCACCAATTGTTTCGACTAATGGGGATACCACTTAATAAATGAAACGAAAACAATTACACTTTACACATGATAAGAAACACTACCTTATCCATCCATAAGTTATACAGGATAAGTCATCAAGATCATCTGGAGGTTGAGTCTCAATGCTGGGAGGACCACCGTCTTCCTCATCATCTAGCGCTCCTCCAAGGGGAGAATCTCTGTCTAAGTCTATACTGTTGACAGGTGAAGACACAATTCCTTCATCTGCAGAGAGAAAAAATTCAACAGACCGCCTACAAGACTGGAGGATAAAAAGAACTTAAACAATAACAACACACACAGGAGACACCTAATTGATAATACTGTACATATATGTTTAATTTTAACGATTACGTACTGTAGTCTGTACTGTACCTGGTGCATCACTGGTGCTAGGAGCTAGTGGGTCTTCTAGTTGCTCCGAAGGCAGAGGACAATGACCCACTGAGGATGGTTCCTCTTGTGCTATGGGTTCATCCTCTACTAAACCTTCCCCCGGACCTGGACCAGTCAGTAGCAAGTCACGTGTGCAGGCTTCACCCGACGACATCTGAAAATAAACAGCATGACTGAATAATACTGAGAAATGTACAAGCCAAAGGTAGTTAGGGAGATTCCTATCAAGTATAACTACCATGAGAGACACAGTACTGTATATGTTTGCCTCAATCTATCTTTTATTCACCTTGGGTGGATGTAGCAATTAACCCTTAAAATCATCAATGTTTTACGACCAATTACCACGTTTACATGGGTAAGCCGCACTTACCTGATGGCAGCTGTTAAGTGAAACCAGAATGGGATGTTATCTACTTCACATCACAAACCCAGGGAGCCAGTCTACAAATTACAAACCAGGGGATGGGCACAGCTTTGGTGTCTAGTGACCTGGTTACCATCTGACACACTGAAGCTAGTGGGAATAGCTGGCAGGCAGAGTCACTACTCCCTCAGGTAATCTGTGGCTACCTCTGCTGTATGCAAAAAAATGTAGTTCATTAAATTTTAAAATATACCTTTTATAATTGTTAAGATACATGCAGAACCAAAGGGAAACACAATTTGAGTACACTACAGGTGCAATACTATCATTTCTAGTAAAGCCAACACTCAATTTTTTTTTCCATGAGCTTCTTACAGCAAATTTACTGCACTCTGTAATTATGTTCCATGACAGGTATTATACAGAACCATTAAAACTCAGTACTGTACACATAAGTGTATTCATTTACATGAAAACTAATGGATACTTAGACAGAATAAACTTACTGGTGTACTAAAATATTCATACAGTATACTGTACTACAGATACACTTTTCTTTGCTGTAAGTACAGTATACATTTTTATATTTAATTATTCACACTCTGATTATTCATATTTTTAGGGCATGAAAATCCCTATAACATTCTCCAACACATCTTATGCTGGGTATCTCCACTGAGAGAGCTTGACAGGAATGTGTCTTCTGGTGTAAAAAGTCCTGACTGAGAGGAGGAGGCACCCACTCAGGGCTACCCAGCTAATTACTGTGCATCACACACAGTGAGATCAAGCTAACAAGAGTTTAAATTGTGGCACAAAAACATAAAATATCTAGTGATGTGAATAACAGTGCAGTGTACATCATCTATTCAATGCAGATATCAGTTTAAATGAGAATTGTGTAACACTTGTTGTAACTCCAGGGAAGAAAGCAGTGGCAGGGTTGTTACAACACTCACCTCCTGCTCTGAAATCCATTTTAAAAATCACTTGACTCAAAAGTGCATACAGCAGTTACTGACAACTCTTGTGGACTGTTTTATATACAGTACAGTACAGCCATCCCATACTGCTGGGTATAGTCATCTCCACTTAATATACACAATAAGTTCCTGACAATCTGTACATTAACCAGATGTACATTATTCTCATGTGTGTTAAGTGGACATTTGTCTGCACTCATAATCACATAACTTACATCTTATACTCGATTTTCATTTTGGGATAGTTAAGAATTCCGTGGATGTTTTTATGAGAAGAGTGTACTGTAATTATTAAGTTCAGGGAGAAGGGTTAGGAACATAAACCCCTTTTACGAAATAAAACTTATTTTTTTCAGCATGGATTCACTTGTTGAGTATTTTCTTGAAACACAACTCTGGGTTCAAGCAAGAGAAAGCATACAAGGCACAACACTTGGCTTCCTCAATGAGGTTGGTAGCCAGAGTGAGGGTTGGTGCTGTGATCCTCTTCTACACCCAGCACACACAGTTAAGGAGTAAGTTCCATGAAGGATATCCAACTTCAAAATTGTCAGCTTCCAACCATCATTGGTGACCACAGCTTGTAATGTCATCTTATTTATCATTTCACCACTAATAGCTTACTAGCCATTCAGCAGGTTAGTCCATTCTTAATTGTTTTGTTACAACCTTATTGTCCAGGAGGTATCTCGATTAGTTGGATTACTTAGACCTCTCTTATGACCCACCTCACTCCTCCACACCCAAGTGAAGGCATTTGCTTGACAGTAATGCTGTTCTTCACGAGTTTTTTGCTTGATTCGAGTGGCATTGATATAGATGATGTCAAGTTTGCTGGGGTGGTGTAAAGTTTAATAATATTAGAGTGAAGTTTAGTAATATTAGAGTGAAGTTTAGTAATGTTAGAGTGAAGCTTAGTAATGTTAAAGTGAAGCTTAGTAATGTTAGAGTGAAGCTTAGTAATGTTAGAGTGAAGCTTAGTAATGTTAGAGTGAAGCTTAGTAATGTTAGAGTGAAGTTTAGTAATGTTAGTGAAGCTTAGTAATGTTAAGAGTGAAATTTTAAGATTAAATATTAATTCTTCCATTGGACTATTTTGTTGCCCTTTACCTGACACCAAACTGTGATAGATCAAATGGTTGAGGTTTACTGTGAATACAAACTCCATTTTTTTCCTATTTTGGTCACAACAGCAATCACCCTACACAAGTTTTCCTGCTTCATATTTAAACAAGCTTTTATTGTTGTTTGGGTTCTTATTAAATCATTCCTTTATTTTGAAATATTATCTGAGGCTGATATGCTTTGATCACAACAATAGAGTACCATTTTATGAAGACAATATACAGGTACAGACTATCTTAGTAGAAAATTAACTGAAGAGCATCAGACTAGCATACAGTGTTGCAGCATGTGGTGTTAGTGAGTGTGTTGGCTGCTACATCTTAACACACACACGCACGCACGCACGCACGCACACACACACACACACACACACTTATTATCTTTCATAAATATTTCACATGACTTAGGATTTCTATGTTAAATATAAGTTAAATTATATTCATATTAATGATTTGAAGGATGAGTGTGTGGGTGAGGGTAGAGTGTGTGGGTGAGGGTAGAGTGTGTGGGTGAGGGTAGAGTGTGTGGGTGAGGGTAGAGTGTGTGGGTGAGGGTAGAGTGTGTGGGTGAGAGGGTGGGTGTGTGGGTGGGGTGAGTGTGTGGGTGAGTGTGTGGGTGAGAGTGTGTGTGGGGTGGGGGTGTGGGTGGGGTGGGGTGTGGGTGGGGTAGAGGGTGAGGGTGTGTGTGGGTGAGGGTAGAGTGTGGTGAGGGAGTGAGGGTAGAGTGTGTGGTGAGGGTAGAGAGTGTGGGTGAGGGTGGTGTGTGAGGGGGGTGGGGTGTGTGGTGGGGGTGGGGTGTGAGTGGGGTGGGGTAGAGTGTGGGTGAGGGTAGAGTGTGTGGGTGAGGGTAGAGGTGAGTGAGGGTGGGGAGTGAGGGGTGGGGTGTGTGGTGAGGGGGGTGTGTGGTGGGTGTGGGTGAGGGTGTGGGGTGTGGGTGTGTGGTGGGGTGGGGGTGAGAGTGGGGTGGGTGTGTGGTGAGTGTGTGGGTGAGGGGTGTGTGGGGTGGGGGGGGGTGTGTGGGGTGGGGTGGTGTGGGTGGGGTGGGGTGTGTGGTGAGGGTAGAGTGTGTGAGTGAGGGTAGAGTGTGTGAGTGAGGGTAGAGTGTGTGGGTGAGGGTAGAGTGTGTGAGTGAGGGTAGAGTGTGTGAGTGAGGGTAGAGTGTGTGAGTGAGGGTAGAGTGTGTGGGTGAGGGTAGAGTGTGTGAGTGAGGGTAGAGTGTGTAGGTGAGGGTAGACATCCAACAATGACAGACATTCAATTATCGTATGTAAAGACTTAAAAGACGGCCATAAATAGATGTTTCTACGTTAATAACTCCACTATCTGTCAGAAGAGTGTGTGTTGAGTGTGTGGTGAGTGTGTGGTGAGTGTGTGTGAGGAGTGAGTGCGGTAATAACAAGTCAACATTTATGGAGGTCACACACAAACCAAAACAAAGAGTGATCACCATCCCCCCACAGCTCCGGCTCCTACCCACACTCACCCCCACAGACTGGCCGGTGCCTTACCTCGCATCCCTGGTGGGTGTGGAGCTCCTGGGTCTGGCTGGGGACTAAACACAGTATCAAAACAGTAGGAGACCGGCGCCACTCTCCTCTACCTCCTTGGCTGCAGCTGTGTACGCATGCGCAGGACCATTTGTTCACTGCTAACGCAATATTTTCCTGCGCCAGCCTGATTTTGTTACTAGATTATTAATTTTATTTACTATAATTTTAATGCTAGAAATATTAAAGGTGTGTTATGATAATTTTTTATTATATTTGTTAAGTTTGAGTAAGAATCGTGAGTTAAAACAGTATTGTCGAATGCACTTGACAGCTATACCAAAAGTATAGGTTTGTTTTCACCATATTCCAAATTTTAATTGTTTTATTAATTTATCCGAACGAATTAAGTTAATATCTTGATATTCACCGAGATACATCCACCAAGTGTGTGTAAACATCGTGGCTTTAAATGACCATTGTCGAATACACTTTCGAGTGACAGTTACTTATTGGTAATATTAAAGTATCATTAACTAGTTTCACAGTTTAAGATATTTGAATTTAAAGTTCATATACATCAGATTACTATCATAGTATTCTTAGACTACATCCATGTATATACAGTATTGTACATTGACCTGGGTATTGTCGAATGCACTTACAGAGTGACAGCCACCTAAGGCAAAGTAAAATTACCATTAAAAAGATTCTACATTTCAATAATACAAGCATTAAATTCTACATGTTAAATAAGCTTCATATTTTTAAGTTACATGCATCAAGTTTGTGTAAATATTGTAGTAAATTAAATATTGGCGAATGCACTTCAGTGATAAGCCACTTTTTTTTTTGCTCAAGTCGCTGGCTCTCACAGATGACGTCACGCTTATGAGTATGGGGCCTCTCATAACTCAGTCGCTGGCTCTCACAGATGACGTCACGTTTACGAGTATGGGGCCTCTCATAACTCAGTCGCTGGCTCTCACAGATGACGTCACGCTTATGAGTATGGGGCCTCTCATAACTCAGTCGCTGGCTCTCACAGATGACGTCACGCTTATGAGTATGGGGCCTCTCATAACTCAGTCGCTGGCTCTCACAGATGACGTCACGCTTATGAGTATGGGGCCTCTCATAACTCAGTCGCTGGCTCTCACAGATGACGTCACGCTTATGAGTATGGGGCCTCTCATAACTCAGTCGCTGGCTCTCACAGATGACGTCACGCTTATGAGTATGGGGCCTCTCATAACTCAGTCGCTGGCTCTCACAGATGACGTCACGCTTATGTGTATGGGGCTTCTCATAACTCATATATATATTAACCCTTTACTGTCATAACCGAGAGTTGCCCATAATGCTTAATTGTTGTTGGACTAAAAGACCATCAGTTGTTGAAGGGCAGTGCGGTACTAACATTATGGGGGCGAGATTCTCCTGAAATATGAAAACCAAACAGTAAATGTGGAAAACAAAATAAACAAAGGTAAAGAACCTTTATTAACCTTAATATTCAAATTACATTATTTATGTAATTCGAAATTTCATATCAAGGTTTTATCATTATTAAAGATAAATATAAAAGCATTATTAAACACACCTATATACAGAACATTAACTAGACAATTCATCAATTTCAATTCAATTTCATTTACTCTTAACATCTTGAGAGCCACAGGTGATAAGGTGGACATCAAAACTGTTCCTCTTATGGTTCTGTTTTAATTTCCAGACAATTTTCACATTCCTGTTAATCTTTGAGAAGATTCCACACACCGTCTGCTGTCCTCCACCCTCATCCAAAGGTAAAATAAATAACAAATGTTCAGAAAGTTTTATTAGTAACTATAAAAATTATAGCCATATTGAGTATGATCTGAAATATGTATAACATCTTCATAACTCTTATAAACATATGATTTTGTGATCCGCTACTGACACTGAATTGAAGCTTACAAAATGCATTTGATAATAAAATTAAAAAAATATCTTTGATGTTGAAACTGATATGTGAAGCGAATTGAAAAGCACTGTTGATGGGAACATAGCATCATTATGACAACTGCCGACTGTTTGCTGCCCACTGTCACGAAAATGGTCGGACAGTCGATAATTTGCCGACAGCGTTGTTAACCGTTTCCGTACGATATTCCACAGTGCAACGTTAAGAAGAACAGTTAAAACAAACGTAGACGGACAATATTCTATGTCTTCCCAAAACTTTGATTCAGTCATTACACTTAATCATAATACCAGTATACAATATGAGTAGATGCCTACCATATGACTATCTCAAACTTACAGCAACCCAAGATATGAATTATTTTGTATCTTATGAACTTACAGCAACCCAAGATATGAATTATTTTGTATCTTATGAACTTACAGCAACCCAAGATATGAATTATTTTGTATCTTATGAACTTACAGCAACCCAAGATATGAATTATTTTGTATCTTATGAACTTACAGCAACCCAAGATATGAATTATTTAAGGACACAAGAATTTCATTAAAAGTAATTGTGGATGATTACCCAGAGGCTTGGTAATGCAGTGCTACACAACAAACACTTTAGAGTTGGACGATAAGGAAAAATCAAGGCACTAAATAATGGAAAATAGTTTAGTCTACAACTGTTTTCTTTCTCGGAAAATTTTCCTATACAGTACAGTAGTCTCTTGGTCTGAGAAAAATCCTGAACCATTTCTCTACTGCAAACTGAAATTGTGGTGTGAACACATAGTTGGGTGTACTATGTGTGGTGTTAACGCATTGTTGGGTGTGATATATGGCTGTGGTGTCAACACAGTGTTGGGTGTGACATGTGACTGTGGTGTTAACACATTTTTGGGTGTGGTATGTGTGATGTTAACACAAAGTTGGGTGTGTTCACTATTTACCAGTTTTGGTTGATGGCACAGAAGTAGTTTAAAGCCAATCTACACTAAAGAAATATATAAGTACAGTATTGTCCATGTACTGTATATGTGAGTGTAGAGGATGAAGAGAAATAAAAATACAAAAATGATGAGATGTGGAAAAAATGGAGTGCCAGGAAATAGTGACACACACACACACAGAGGAAAATGAATGACTGTTAAAGAAGTGAAAGGGGGTCCCCAAGAAGATGAAACAGAGAGGTGAAGGATGCATGGGAAGTATTTAAGTGTGAGAATAACAGAATATGACTTAAAAGCAGTTTTTGAGGTTGGATAGATGATGGTGGTTTGTGTGAAGGTGTTTGGGCTTTGGTGTAGAAGGAGAACACCATATTAGTACTTATCTGAAGGAAAAGATAGAGAATCGAAAAATAAATATAAAAGCACTGCAGAAGTCAACACATATGTTCACACACAACAAAAGATTGGGAGGCACACTGACCTACATAATGAGAACAAATTTTATTCTTAAATCCCTGATTATTTCAGTGATAATAATGACCAGTCAAGAGAGTAGCCTACTGAAATGTGACTATTAGCTTAGCCTATTCTAATAGATTTATGGCACTTATGGTTACATTAAGCTTGTAGCTGTGAATAATACATATATGAAATGAAAGACAAACAAACCTCTGTTTTGGGAACACAGTACACTGTATTAACACTGCTGTAATTAATAACACTTCCCACAATAAAGTAATCATGAAGCATATTACCACAGAGCTCCATGACACTTGTGGGACACAATGATAAGAGTTGGTTGCTGTATGTCCTTCTTCATTTGTATAACTGGTTACATAAATCACAAGGCATACTAAGTAGTTCTTTAGTTGCAAATTTCTACATAAGATATTCATTTCAGCTGCACTGAAAATATTTGTGATGTACAAGTGCGTCAAAGTGACACCTTCCAATTACTGTACACTTATCAACAAAAATATCTGAAATATTTGGTAAAAAAAGCATATTTTTATATAGGCTGTTCATACTGTCATAGGTCAGCATCATTACACTATATATACAAGTAAAACTCTGATGATTATGTACAAAGTTATACAGAGGGGGTATCAAAGTACTGTACATACATATAAAAGTCTTGCTCCTTCCCTGTTGCTGCAGATGAAGCCTTCAGTATTACTTAAAAGGCAAATCATTTATGGAAGTACGCACGAAACACTATAACCTACCACACAAGAAAATGGGATGCATTTTACCTGATGCAACAAGAGGCATTAAAGGTCAATATAAAAGAAGAGATTTATAGAGGATAAAAATACCATAAAGCAGTACTTAATACACAATACAATCTGAGAAAATTTGTACCACCCAAAAAAAAAATATTAGATTTAAAAATAATAATCAACCAATCAATCAATCAATTAAGCTCACAATACATTTATTATATATCTTGAGAGCCTGAGAACTTTACAATATAGGAAGGCAATAATAAACTCTCTCTCTCTCTCAATACATTATCTTGGTTGAGAACCTTGTTATAAAATAAGTTGACTCCAGATATATAAGATTAAATATTTTCAACATTTTAAAGGATTATCATTTTAGTAATTTATCACCCATATATTCCATATACTGTACTATACAGTAGTCATTTGTTCAATACTGCTACAACAAAGACTTCACTAGCACAGTCATAAATACTCATAAGTCTTTGAAACATCGCATTAACAACTTATTGTGAACATTATTGTCTCCGTAAGATGATTGAAATTTCAATGTATTTTGTCTAAGAATATAAGACTATCCTTTAACAATCAAGGTTTCTCACATCCTATAAAACATTTCAACTCCAAAGTGTCTGTTCATTTTTAACTATGGAAGCAGCACTATGAACAACAGTCGATACTGTCTTGTGGACACACTTTCCCCTACTGCTGTCAGCAATAAAATTTTTGGTGCACAAATAATCATAAACGATAATAAATTACGTAATGTTCATTTATATTATTCACATTATTATTAGAATTTGAGCTATGTTGTAGGCAGTCAAATATATCCATTAACTAGTAGAAAATTTTCAGTGATATTTTTTACATTTTCAGGCTTATAATTTGTTTTTTGGAGACAAAGGCAAGAAACTACATAAACCAACTCCAGCCTGACACAGTCGATGAACAATTATTATTATACTTTATAGCTGACCTCCCACACAGATAAAAGAATTTCTTCTTAACCATTAATTAGGGACTAAGGTTCCCCACCACCCCTTACCCTCGTACGTGCAAAAATATAACTCAAATGAATATAAAACTTCCACCAACTTCTTTCAGTACAGTAATAGAAACAAACAAGAAATTTAGTGAAATTATCACTGATCTTCGAGGGATTCCGATATACTGTGCAGCCTAAATATATAGGGAAGTCACGATAGCACTTTTGATTCTTAAACTCACGAGAGAAAATTTGCAGAGCATTACTTACTGAGATGTGCATCAAGTTAGCCACCCACTCCCCTTCCTTCGCTGGGGTTTACCAACTCACAAGGCATAGGGAAAAGCCATAAACAATGTTAACTTTACATAAACGTGTAAGGCTTTAAGTCAAGAACTGTTTCTTCACTACAGAAAACAGAAGGGTCAATACAACTTGAAATACAATACTGTTAGGGCCTTGGGAGTAAAATATAAAAATAGTATTGACACAGCCAGATAAACATAATCATCTGTATATACTGTACTGTGCATCCTTGTAAGTGATGAAGGGATAAAAAATGTTGCAGAGGACAAGTCACATCCTTTAAACTGTATGACAATGATAGATCTATAACTTGACAATGACAACAAGTCACTCCCTGAGGACAATGGTTTAAGCCACTGTTCTGAAAGGGTTAAATTGTCTGTACTTTATTCAAATTATCTGTAATTCATTCTAATTATCTATATTTCATTCTAATTATCTGTACAATATTTCATTCTATGTAAAAAATATATTAATCTCAATAATCTGGAGCCACGTTATCTTACAGGTGAGGCAGTAAATCTAATATCCTCTCTCATTAACACATCACAAAACCTACAAACAAGGGGTTTACCGCATCTGGTTGTAATTTCTGCAGAATTGTTTTGTATGTACAATAAATTCTGAAAATACCATAAAAAACCTAAGATATTGAAAAACTTAACATCTAAACATTCTATGTATGTATATACTGTATATAAAAAAAATATCTTCAATTACAAAAGTCGACATTATCAAATTCTCAACAGAAATATAAGAGCGTCAATTGCAAAATGCCAATTTCATCACAGACAAATAGTTTGGCAAATTAAAAGGCTTATGGCACACAAACACTAATAAACTCACTAACAATGAACAAACCTTCATGTGGTTGACTATAGGTGCCCCTCCCACCCCCCCACCCAAAGGCCACAAACATACCTCACGGAAATGTACCATACAACATGGTATAAGGTACACTAATATGACTGTATAGAGCATTGTGTATAGATGGAACCAAACAGGGTACAGTCAAGGGGTTAGTTAGGATTAGGGATAAAATAAATTATTTATTCATACAGTGTTACAGAAAAGAGTTGACTAGGGTTAGTGTTAAGATAATTTTCAAAACAATAAATTAATTCAGTTATTTCCTTACCTAACACTACCCTGTTTGGTTCCATCTACATGCAACACCCTGTAGTAGTATGAAGCAATGTTTAACTATGAAAGAAGATCACTGAATGATACCATTACCAAAAATCATTAACAGTGAGGAGCAAATGTCAAATTAAATGGTAAAAAATAGTAGAGCATCTGTTCAACACACTTCTATGAATGATGAGTATGACTATGATGATGAACATGATATGCTTCAGCATTACATTACTCTATTACTATAACTCTTTATTATCAACATATTTATACACTATGTATGTATGCTTGTATGTATGTATATAATGCTTGTATGTATAAAAGTAGGTAACTATAAAGCAAATGTATGCATGTGTGTATCTACACATGCACAAGTGTCTCACACAATTTACAATTATGCAAGTAAAAAATAAAAAAAATAATTGAGAACTCTGCCTTGCCTATTAGTGAAAAAAAATAATAAAAGACAATAAAAATCTATACAATTACTCTTTTAACAATTAAAACATTACCATTTTCTGTCTGCAAAATTTCACTTATTAATAAGCTAAAACTTATAAAGCTTTTACGTACAGGACAAAATTATATTTTAATAAACGTGGAACATAAGCTGTGGGGAAGTACCTACAGTATAATAATTACAGCTTGCGTTTTTTACATAACAAGCCTCAATTAAATAACACAGCATCTACTGCCAACTCAAATTTTTTTGAAATACTGTATTTTCAAAATCCAAGTAGGATGCCTTTGTAATAACCTTACTTTACTATACTATAATATACTCTTAAAGAATAATGGGGAAAGAAATTATTTGGCTGACAGAACAAGTGAGTGTACTAAGTATACAGAAGCTTAAATCATTTAAATTTTTAACAATGATCTCCTTAATCATTAAAAGCAACAGGAACAATTACAAAATTAGTGAACGTACTGCCAAAATAAACCATGTGCTCACTTAACAAGTAATTTGTGTGACTTAACATTCAAAAGGCACATCATCATTAGGAGCTTTACAGCATATCAGGCCTCCATCTCCTGTCCCCTGTAAGGCCTAATCTATGCTTCTCCTACTTACTGCCAATTATTCCATGGTATCCACGGGACAATATTGCTGTCACCCCACACTACTCGGGTAATCTGCAAAAATATGTTCTATACGACTGAGCCTGCTGCCTATAACCCATTGTGAACAAAGTGTACAGTAGTTATTTTCGTATTAATGGCGTATGTTTGTGCGAGATTTGTTAATATTTCCACCTGATTATTAACTCACCTAACATTCTGAAGTGAAGAACTGACACACCTCTTCTGAGCCCTGTGAGTGTGACCTACCACCTGAGGCTGTGTGTGTGTGTGTGTGTGTGTAGCCTACCACCCTAGACCACAAAACACCATTACATCCAGTATTCATCTATTAATATGAACAATTACCTGTATTATGGTACTATTATCAACACATTTCTTTAGTTCCGGATAATTTTTTTTAAATTTAATTACGTACTGTAGTTTGAACTTGGGAGTAAAACTCTTAAAGTACAGATTCTTCAACAAGAAGAATGTGAGGTCATAACTTATCTGGGGTAGTGTACAAGACCTTTGAAAGAGGACCATCCATGGTCAGTCTAACAAATTTAAAAAAAATTGCCCAATAGGTTCAGACACAAAGATGTTTAAAAGTTTTCAGTATCATTTCTTTAAGTTTCCAAAAAACTGAACCAGTAGTTTAAACAAAATATGTGGTGTTAAAAGGACTACTAATGGACATCAATATGACTATTACATATTCATGTCTAGACTGACTAGAAACTAAGCTTCAAGAGAAAATCTATTGAAAACTGCAGTTACACAATTAACCTACCTTGTGACAAAAGCTTAGAGGAGGTTACCACTCTTCCTCAATTCAAATATCTGTTGTTAGTGAGTGAGAGCTGTCACAGGTGTTAATATATACACACTGCCGTAACAGTTTTTGTGGAGATCACATGAAGGCTCATATTACGACAACAATATTGTCCTCACTTGTTGATGAGCGAGTTACCCCACAAGTGAGGACAGTGTTGCTGTTGTAATTACAATATTGACACAATCTCCACATTTTGTGTGACACCCTGTATACAGTAGCAGAGGAGCTGGTGGTAAAGCTCTTTTCAGTCACAGTGACGCTGTGTTGGTGGTGGTGGTAACAGCAATACCGTCTTGTGGATTTACACTATTAACCAGGAATAAGATCTTCACAGTGGATTTACACTATCACTCAAACAGGAAAACTTCCACAGCTTTTTTAGACAGTTAAAATTTCTATATTCTACGGATGTATTCTATTACACTTAGCTTTGTTAGGTTCACTCCAATGTAACACTCACACTTGGTTACTCCACGCGCACTACACACCAGGCACTTGTTATTTTCAATCCAGTTGTGGAGACACTAGAGGAAGTCTTGTACAGTATAATAATACAGTACCAGCAGTTAGTGTCTGCTGCCACACCACACACTTCACCTGCTTCCACTTTAAAAAGCTTAAAAATGACTATACAAGATTTTATGTAAACATTTACTCAATATAAAAAACTTTTTATTATAAAAGGCTTATAAATCTTCAGCTGGGTTTGAATAACAAACCCAATAACTCATAGATAATTTCTTATCATTTGCACTAAATAATCTTGGTGCCATCAGTAACTTGAAGTTTATAAAGTGTCTTTTTCACTCTTAACGCTGTTAGACGAGCAGCAGGATTGGCATGCCAGCATTCCTGAATCACTTTGCTCGCTGTTTTCAATACCTGCAAGAAAAACAAAAATATCACATACTGTACTGTACAAAAATAAATCAATAAATATAAGAATTGTGGAAACATCTGGAAACGATGTTCACTCAACAGCAGCTTTACACACTATAGGCTAATGATATCAAGATGAAATACAAGGCCTCCATACAGTATCTGGACTCACCTTAACACTTAATAACCTCAAAAATACTATAGACAACATGGTGCACACATGTAAGTCTAAGACAAGATAAAACTGAGGAGTTGTTTGTCCAGTACAGCCTCTATCTTACTAAACCACCATCCTCTATTTTAATGTTTAAAAGTTTTAAGTGGGTCAGCTAAATCATGGACACCCTGACAACATGTTTTGAGAGAGTCTGTTTCTTTATAATATACACAAGGTGCTAGGAGAGATGAGATAAGTATCACTGCCATGTATTATGATACTTCTAGAAGAACTGTTGGAACTACAAGGTTAAATGTTGCATGAAAAATTCAGTGGTGAAGAAATCCACATGGTGGTACTCAAGGTACAAATATGACATACAACCATAAGATGACCAATGTTTTGTCAGAAGGCTGGAGGGGGGGGGGGGGACAAAAATTTACACACTTGATTCTTGGGCAAATTGGAAAAATAACATATCAAATTTCCTGATCTGAGCATAAAAAACAACAAAAGACTGTTCACACACCTCATTACAATGCCATCGGAGATATATTTCTGGTCTGATACCCTTAACACACACTACATCATGCATGTCATCAAAGGATGGGTCTGGTGGCACACAGTTGAAGTAAGGCAGCTGGTAGCTATCAGCCACAAGATACCCATCCCCACTCTCACTTGCACATCTGAAAATATTTTGTATGGACTAAATAAACCAGAAAAATATTATACAGTTAAAACTGGGCAAATAAACCAGGAATTATTACAATAAAACACTCACAGGTGACATTATTAATAAGGTGTGAAGGTGTTTGCACATAAGATTACACACCCTTATAGTTATTTCTCAATAAACCAACTGATGACATCTGGTAAGCACCATTGAATTAACATACTTTATTACAAATAAGAATGCAAAATGAAATTTAGTAACATAACAGTCTGATATGTACGGTATTTACTGAAACTGTTTAACATGTCATAAGGCAGATGATATTGTACTACAGGTTGACAACCCTTTATCCGAAATTCCGAAAACCGATTTTTTTTTTGTGGAGCATATTTTTTTATGGGTATTAGCCCACCCGGGCACATGTCACTGACCCACATCGGGGCCTGGGGGGTGAAAATGTAATAGTAATAATAATTATAATAATACAGGTAATGATAATACAGTAATAATAATAATAATTATTCATAGTAAATAAAATTTTTAATAAAAAATACACAAAAATAAAATAAGAATGATAACAACAATAATAATAATAATAATACTGTAATAATGAAATAATAATAATAAAGAAATACAAGAATGAAAAAAAAGATCAAAAGTGAGAAACATGACCTAGACCTATGAATTATTATTATTATTATAATTATTATTACCCCGGTATTATTATATTTTAGCCCCCAGGCCCCAATGTGAGTCAGTGACCTGCTGTGCCCGGGTGGGCTGATCCCTGTTAAAAAAAAAAAAAAAAAACATTCTGAAATCAGAAAAATTTCAAAAACCGAAATGCATCTGGTCCCAAGGATTTCGGATAAGGGATCGTCAACCTGTACATGTTATATACCAGTAGTCTAATAACTTTCTTAAGATGAATATACAGTACAACATTCATCAGGTGTCACTAAAGTGTCCTGGCTCTCACTAGGCTCAGCCATGTCAATACAGTATTGTTGTTGCTGCTCACTTTGTATCTGCATTTTTCTGGCTAGATAAACTGTTTCAATTTAATATTTATATGATTACTGAAGTGCAATTGACAATGGTTTTACTGTGTGGAGTTCATATTAAAGTTTGTTAGATAAAAAATCCTGACATGAGCGCTGACACCTCTACCTGCCACCATGAACATTGTTAATTGCTCAATCATTAAACAGTATGGAGCCAAGACCTTTCTGGGTGCAAGAATTTTACTGTTTGCGTGTGTACACGCATACACATGCGAGTGTGTGAGTGTGTGTGTATGTGTGTGTAAATTCTAATGAAATGAGACAGGTAAATTAGCTACTACAGTATAATAAACTAGTATAAAAAGTCCAGATCTAAAAGACTATCAACAATTATACCACTACAACTGAAGAAGTGATTCTGGTTAAACACATCAGGAAGGTCAGGTGTTAAAATAAAATTACTGTATTCACTCTTTACAAAACAAATCCCCTTAAAACAAAAATTTTCATTTTTAGACAAAGCAGACACAATATTTACAATTTTCCCACAACTACAGTACTGTACAGTGTTGTATATATGACATCACTGTTTTACAGCCATTTTCCACACCAGTGTGGGTTAGCCGTGGCATGGTGTCACAGCTGTCATCAGGCAAGTTTGAACCAAGATTTGTGGCCAGATACCTTTCCTATTGCCAAATAATTTTAACTTTTTTAATATTCTTATAGCTAATACTGATCTTATATAAACCAGTTATTACAGAAAAGGCATAAGTAATTTTTTTTTACCTTCTAGCAATTTCCCAGAGGACTAGCCCAAAGGAGTACATGTCTGCCATTTTGAGAGACTCAAAGCAGCTCATGTTTATTGTTTCATTAAGCACCTCTGGAGCCATGTATCGTCGGGTTCCAACTTTGGGGTTTGTGCCAAAGTCCAGTTCATTGTTTTCACTGTGGAAAAAATCATAAAAAATTAATTCTAAACTAAAATTATTAAATCCCAAGAAAGCAGCCATGTTGGTTCAATAGATTTGTAAATTATAATAAAAAATACAACCAGAACTGGGTCATCATATTTGATCTTTCCACCATCATAAAGAACGCATCACTTTACAAGATCTAATTATTAGGTGATCATTATGACATGTCTAAACTTCATTAGTTCAATTATGTAGATTTGACATTAACTTTACTACTGACTCTCAGGCCTTTAACTGTGCTGACACAAATCTCTCCTGAGTTCCATAACCCCCACAAAATACTGCACTCAAGTATGAAATTTCACATTCAAAGAAAAGGCAGGAACAAGCACTCCTTCATACAAGTCTCCTTACCTACAGTACTCCTTATCTTAATTTTTCCTATGTATTAACATATGAGAAAGTCTGGTCAAGAAGTTGACAAACAACAAAAACGAAAAACACAAGAAAAAGTTGAAGTTGAGATATTTGAACTATAATGTTACAATAAACAAGCCACTTTGTCAGTAACCTTACTGTCAACTGCAGTGCCGCACATGGTTCAGTTTCAGTCTAATGTACATGTATATTAATCAACAAGTGAAATTTGTTTTAAGTTTCTTTAACTACCTCATACTTAATAAAATTTTCCCTAGAGGATGGCTAATGTTAACATACATATAACACATCACTTAGAATGTTTCCCAATTATAACTTACTTATGTAGTCTTGTGCATAACAACAGTATTTTAACAGCTTGGTAAATATTACATACTGTACTACTAACAAAAGGGGTGTGACTGTTTTAGCTCATCATTGTGTAATATGTAGACATCAACTTTATGCACAGGTTTAAAATTATCTGCAAAGACCCCAAACAGAGTTAACCCTTACATAGACAAGGGATATATCTGTTGCTTACCTGACATACTTGACTGCCAGGCCAAAGTCGGCAATACAACACTCGCCATTTCTCTTGACTAGAATATTTTTACTCTTTATGTCTCGGTGAGCTATGGCGGGCTTTCCTTTAGTTCCAAAAATTTCTGTGTGTAAGTGAGATATGCCACAAGACATGGACAAGGAGAGGCGGATCATGCTAAAATAGTTAAGGGTATTATTTTGGAGGTGATCGTGCAGAGAGCCATTATGGTGGTAGTCCGTAATGAGTAGCATCTGAGTTAAAGACCCCGTTCCCTTAATGTCAGCTGCAATGAAACCTGTGAGGAAGAGAATATTAATTTATATTAGGTATTATTACTCTACAAGAACAATAAATACTATATCTGTATAAAACACTAGATATCATTACTACTCTATATATAGATATTACTATAAGAACAAATAACACCCATCATATTTGAGAAAAAATTTCTTAACATATTCTTAATAATAACTGAGCAGGAAAAAAAATATAAAACCATTCAATTAAATCTATGACTGCTAGACCTATAATGAATAGCCACAGCTGAAACTTAAGATACACTACAGGGGAAAATATATTAATACATGGAGGTGCGTATAAGTAGAGCCAAACAAGGTAGGGTTAGTGGGGATATGAAATAAGAGAATATATTAATTTATTGCTTTGAAAATTCTTATTTACTAACCCTAACAGGCATGTACACACAAGAGTACTCTAAAGATTTCTTGGTGTCAGTGTATAAGTGTAAGAAGATAACAGTGAGTAAAAAATAAGAATAAATAGATTACATATGTAGTAGATAGGGAGATACAGTAGACAGTGTGTTCATAAATTACCTGAGTTATTTACAAGCTTAATAACTCCTAGAACCATAATGGTTATGTTAGGTTTTACTTTATCTGAGCTGAAGAAAAAACCTTATGAGTTTTCCATATACTGTTTCAAGAGCCAGCGTGTTCTATCTTTAATATTTTTGAGGTTATTAAAATGGGTCAGCTTATTTATGGAAGCCTTATGTGAGGAAGGCACATATAAACAATCTAATAAAAAAAATAAATACCCACAACATTGAGATAACACATAGATGATAAACCTCATGTCCTTACCTAAGATATTCTCATGTCTTAGTAAAACTGTTTGATAAATTTCAGTTTCTCTAAACCAAGAAGCTTCATCAGTTGTGAAGAAAACTTTAACAGCAACCTTCTCTCCTCTCCACCGCCCCAGCCACACTTCACCATAACGACCCTTCCCGACACTTCTCTCCAGCTGAATCTGCTTGGCTATGGTGCGTTGAACCTGCAATAATAATACTTCACTTACTAATATTCTACTAAATTTAAGTTATTAGTTAAATTAGTTGCCCCTCATATTTGGGGAGAGACAGCTTTAAACTCATTTGAACACAAATTTGCTTAAGTTATAGAAAGCTTCATTACTAACCCAACCATGCCCTTGGCTCAGTAAGCTATGTAATAACGTGTAAGTCGAAATCGGTTATACCAGACAGCTCACTAACCACAATGGCTAACCAGTACCCTAGAGAACAATCTGCTTATTAATTCATATAGCTGTAGGTTTTACCCATCATTATTGTCAAGGTACAAGGAGAACAATGCCCAGTTTCGCTCTGCCCAGGACCACATTACAGGTCACCAAGGCCAGAATGATATCTAATACACCAAATTTCAATACTGTATTAATAGAGGCATTACAGTGTGCTGTACTAATGTTTCATTCCTTTCCTGTATCTAACATTCTAAAAAAGGTCCCATTAAAACTAAAATGATTTAAAACCGAATTACAAACCAAAAACATTTATATAAACCTGAATCCAAGATACTCTTATCAATATAGAGCTACTGTGTATGGTGTCACAAGAACAGCCCCTTCCACACCATACCCCTGATCTGCCGATGTTGTTGAATATTTTATTTCCACACTGTTCTCTACTCTATTTTCCCCCTAGTTTATATTTTTACTAACTATACTGGAACAAATACTCTAACATATGAATTGTTTGCATTATTCTTCCAATGTGATTTACCTGAATTTTGTTCAATACATAAATAACACTTTATACATTCCACATAGCTACATTTGTTCTTTCATAAATCAACATTAAAAGTAAAGATAATAAAAAATTACATCTGATAACTTAGCACTCTATTGTTTACAGTGGTAATGACAAAAAATTTACATTAAAAAAGGTTTAGTTGTAAGTAAGGCAATAAAAACTAAAAGGTCAAATTATGGTAAATTCTTAAATTTGTTAAGTTTTGGTATTGTGTGTTGCACCTGAAACACTTACCAGAAGAGGAAGGCCAGACCCTGACCCAGATGACTGCTCAATAAGATCACTGAGAGTGTCATTGGCTCTTATGACAAGTCCTGAACACTTGTTATATACCAGTGTGTTGGCTTCCCGCTGTCGATATCTGCACAAAAATAAGAGGACAGTATCGTATATCAACAAACACGCAAGAGTACTAATGTAATAAATTAGCATACTTCAGGTGAAACCAAAATAAGAAAAAAATTCAAGAGAGCTAATTAACTCGATGTGTTTCATAGATCCAGCATTATGGAGCAATCCAACAGATGCACACTACTGCCTAGATTGTTCTAACACTCCAAAATAATGTTTGAATAACTTTACCATATCACTGTACTTGTACTGCACTCTTTTGCATCGTATTTCAAATGAACAAGTACAGTTTGAGAGAAGAAAAAAATGTCAAAAGGAGAGGTGTCTTCAAGATACGTACAGGTATGATGAATAAAAGATTGACGGAGAATTTATAGAGTATCTAATCCAATCTAAAACTTAATAACCTAAAAAATATTAAAGATAGAACATGCTGGTTTTATTATACTTAATGAACAGCTCATAAGCTGTTTTCTCATCTTGGTAAAATTCCACACGTAAACCATGCTCCATCTATAATACAATATTTTGAAGTTAACAATTTTTAAAATGTGTCAGATAATCTACGGACATCCTTTATTCAAAAACAACCATTTAGTTATTACCACTTAGCCCAATAATCAGTGTACGGTACTGTATTGCATTAAAAAGATCATGGAAGTTTAACATTGAGTGAATAGTAAAAACAACCCTTCCATTTAGTCCACAAGGCACAAATACAATGACTAAAGTTAGATGAGACTGGAAGGATATAAATTGTGCTGGAGATAAATGAGATGAAGACATTACAGTGGAAACTGATATTATCACTCAAAGACATGCAGGAAAATATAAATATTAGATCAAGAACAGCAGTGTTATGTCCTGTACAGGTATATGAAACACTATGATGAGAGGTAAGGCTGAAATGGTTTGGTCATGTGGTTCAAAAAGAAAAAGGGAGCATTCAAGTAGTCTGGAATATGTCAACCAAAGGGAGGAGATCACGAGGATGAAAGAAGTTATGGTGGAGGTAAGGGGTTGAAACAGACACTGTAGAACATTGGCCTAATAGTAGAGAAGGAAGAAGACAGAGGAACCTAACAGAGATGGACTTGAGTGATTAACCTCTAACCTTTGGAAGTGGTGAAACAATAAAGAAAAAAGAATATCACACTGATAAACAAAGGTTGTAAAATTAAAATGTATATATTTCCAAACAGATGGCAAAGGTGACAACTCAGTATAAAAAGGTGGCATCAACTCCACCGACCATACTTTATGTGCAAAAATGGAATGCAAGGAACATGACACTTTCACCAAGGATGGCTGCCATCCCTATACTGTAGTCAACTTCCACTGATGATAGCTGCCATCCTTACAGCTAACTTCCACTGATGATGGCTGCCATTTAAAGGTTAAGATTGACTCAAGGTCTTAACATTTGATAAAAACAATGATGCGTCTCACCTGAACCAAACAGTCATAATTGCTGCCAGCACAGCAACAAAAGCCAAAGGCAAAGTGACTAAAAGAAGGCTCTCTGGAAAATTTGTTGCTGGTGTAGGTGAAGGTGTAGGTGTTTGAGGATAGATGACTGGCAAGAGACCCTCGTTGCATCTGTCATACTCATTGCAGCATGAAATGTTCTTGGGACGATAGTGTTCCGTCAAGTAGGCCCGGCACTGATGGAGAAAAACCAATTAATATAAGGATGTACAAGTTGAAAGTAAATGAAGATGGTAAAGCAGATATCTAACCTAATCTAACATAACATATTTTGTACTTTAACCTTTTTTTTCCATGACTTTATTGACATATAAACAACATATCACTGGTTGAGTCCTGCAGCTAGGTACAGAATAGGGCAGCCACCCCCAGTTGACCCAACTGTTGAATGTACTGGACTGTCCCTACATCTACAGTTGGGAAACAAAAGGTTGCAGAGTGTCACACCAGCTAAATCTTAGGCTTCAGTGTTTTGTATCTACACTGAACAAATCAGGTCTATGGGACCCACTTTCACACATGATGTACTCACCTGCATAAGACCAAGTTCATCCTGGCCAAGACACCCAAAGGAGCGATGATTGTTCCACTTCTTCGTCTCCACATCATAGATGAGCTCTACAGCACTGAAGCAGAAAGAGTTGGGCTTGGCTTCACATGTGCCGTTGAAAGTATTATGGTCTGGACACAGATCTTCACAATAACACAACAGACCCCAAGCTGTAATATAAAAATGTTCTTTTGTAATACTTATTTTAAAGACATCATTAAAACAACATAATTTAAAGCCGTTTTTTAAAGGACACAAACAGCAATATAAAGTAACACGTCAAAGTGTTTTTTTTTTTTTTTTAAAGAAATGAGGTAGGGTGGTGGCGCACCACTGCTGAGGTAGATATAATACAAGGGGAAAAGCTCCCCACCCTCCTCGCCGAAGAATCTCCCCACTCCCTCAACTAATTTTGTATTTTTTCGCTAGAACGTGGTGCCATTTGGTGCATTTTGAGGTCAGGGTTAAGCTAGGACTGTATGTGGGTCACTTGGCCTAAGTACTAGAGTTTAACCCAACACCCACAACTTTTCAAGACTACCCTCGATCATACTTACGCATTATTAGTCATTATCTGCCGATATATTAGGTGCCCATTAAATTAGGAAATTAAAACTAAGGCATTTAAGGCGAGATGATTATATTATGTTGAACATTGAGATTTAATCGGTGGTGAAATATTATATTCATACTGTATATACTACTGCAGAAAGTCACTTCACACAATATGTACAGTATTTATAAATCAACTATGTTTTATCCTGCCATTTAAGGCATTTAATTGCATGAGCCAGTAACAACTGCGTATATACTATTACCAACGCTTGCGTGCGTACTGATACCAATATTAGAGTACATAAAGACACCAGAGTTCATTTTATCCGGCTCCCTACTCCTTCAGCCCTCAACATTAGCTTATTCTTCCAATCAGTAACATTCACATACTATATGTACGGTTAATTTTTGTGCGTATTTAAATAGACTGGCATATTTATAATACCCAGGGCAGTATGCTGAATTAGTGAGCACTGGCATCTTTCGGGCACTTGGGCGTCACACAGGCGCCCAGCTCACAATCATGCCGTTCACTACTTCACTGGCGACAGGTAAAGGCCTCACTACTGCTCCTAACAATCCATCATTATTTCTTACTACAACTTTTCTTGTGAAACTGGGTTACTTATTTTATGACAAACAATTATTAAAACGTACGACATGTCAATACAAGTATGAGGGTTATGAAGAAAAGTATTGTTCATGCGGCTGGCAGCGAGAATTGGGCACGCTTCAAATGACGACAGGTCGGCGCTGCCCACGTCCAGCAATGACTTCTTTAACTGACTTCGTCTCGATATATATAAAAACACTAAAGACATACAAAGAAAGCTCTTTTCTTTAATGTTACCAAGCTTAGTTCATAAATTTATAAGCCTTAAGGCAGAAACCAGAAATATGACACCGAAGGTTAAGAACGCAATAACATAAACAAGTTCGTAGTCCTGTAAACGAACATCGAAGATTCTGGCGCCAGTCTTGGCTCAGGGGAATTTGGCACAGAATGGCAAAGGTAATTACTGTATTATCGTCTGCATGGTTTCAACTCAGTACCCGTAACTCCACACGTATATATTAAAATTTATCGCGTCAAATTACGGTACCACCATTCATAGCTACCAAATATCTGAAATGCTCATCATTTAAAGCGTGCCCTATAAGCAGAGCACACAAATATAACCAAAGTCTTTCTGAGAATATTCAGACATACATGCACACTTGTCGTATGATACATTATGATGATCTGCTAACATTATTCATGTACGACTGTCACTACCACACCAAGGTTTTAGATACCTGAACGATCCTATTTCCCCTCATTTTTCCCTGCAAATCGTCTACTAATGGGAAAGTTTATTTAGCCCAGTGCCTGCCTTTCTTGACCTGAATAATAATGTTTGTTTGTTTTCTTTTTTTTCTCAAGAGCGCTTTCACTCAACCAATGAATACCCTAGTTAAACAGGTATTGCCCCCAATTGTAAGGAATTCAAGCTGAGCGGTCGACAATACTCGATAATAATTTTATTCTCAGATTTAAAAGTTTCGAAGAAAAAGCTTCACATCATTAAATAAGCGACCAACTCCTGAGTAGTATACCCACCCTAATGCCCACGTACTTAACGGAAAGAATATAACGAAAAAGGGTCTATACGCAATGCATAGTGCTATAAGCGGTTCGTTCTTGTTAAAATCATGCTCGTGATAATTAAGTGTGTGTGTGTTATAAAACGATATAAGAAACAAGAGTCTTGTATGACTAATTCCACAGGATTACATAATTTTCATGGACAATTTTAGTAAGTCACGACAAGGTGCTATCAACCCTCATGTAACCTAACAAAGTGTTAAATTTAAATATTTCGATAACCGTGGTTGAGGATGCATTCCCCCACTCCTCCAGAATCATTGTTACTAACTCACTACGCTGCTGGAACCTTACCGCTTACTGTGTATAACTGCACTGTCTATACTTACAATCTGCGTTGTCAATATGGATACTAAACTGTGTACCATAACTGTCTATATACACGCTGAACCAATTAAAAGCTTATATGACGATTTTAATAAATAGATCTAACCATGATTTCATTTGAGCATTTAAAAGACTAAGCCGGAGGTCACTGCATACCACGGAACACTAAACCAATGTTCGTCAAACATCTGCCCTCTTTAGTCCCAATATGCTTAAAGTTGTCAATAGTACATCAAAAGCTTGACCTCTGACACTAAGCTGCGACCTTGATCTCTGACACAGCGGAATGTGGTATTGTGTACTGCGTTCAGTAATGATGCATTATACGAATGTGGAGTATTATCAAAACATCTATCATTCAAGGCCAATGAATTAAAATGTGACGGAAGGTAGAGAAAAAAACAATAACAACAAAAGAATAAGCTCATTCGCCGTAACCATACATTTTCATCTGGCTTAACCAACTCGGCTGTCATCTTTGTTCATAAGATTTAAACAAACACGTGAGTTCCATGACACCAACAAAGTATCTTATGCCTATATCGATAATCCTAGAATAAGAGTGCAATTGCAGACGCTTAACATTACGCTGACATGTGAGCAACACAGTACAATTGTTGAAGTAAGGAAGGTACTGTACACTGCAGTACCTGGGGAATCACGAGGCTACCTAGGCTACTCTCACTAGCTTCCAGGTTATAATATTATATGCTGAGTTAGGGAGCTTGGCTTTATTACTTTCACCGATAATGATAACAACACAACTTTTCACTGATGGTTGTTTGATAGAGGGAAAAAAAATTGAACTCCAACAAGCAAGTGTCAAGACCCGCCCAGAAGAAACCCAGCTGCTGGGCCTAATACTCAGGGACTCAAGTGTTTAAGTCAGGGGCCACCATAATCCCCAGCCCAGCCCAGACCGGAGTTGTCGCGCTCAATCCTCTCACCAAACCTGCTTCAACTTGACGTACGTTTGTTACACGGGATCACCTGAGTATTACCCCATCCACAGGTTATTTCAACCGGTAATTAAAAATCCTAACGTTCACCTGATATAACCTAACCTAACCTGACCTACCAGAACCTAATGTAAAGTAATATTACCTTACATTACCTAACCAAACATTCAACTCCCATCGTAGGGTGTTTAATCACCACATGAAATACGGTGGGGGAGCTGATCGTCAGTTGATCCGTTACTTGTTACTATTAAAACGAAGGCATGGCAATATCCAATCAACTAAGCTATGTCGCACATAACGAAAACGTGCAACAATCCACTGAGGATTAACACATTTCTGTAAAAATACTTTGCAAACTCACGGGTAACTAATAACCATGCTTCCTACCGTAATATCTCGATTCTCTCTGCGGCAAACATATAGGTATATAACAAGTACAGAATGACTGTAAGTAATGCTGGCAACAGTTGTAATATTTTTATTCGTTGAGTGTGGCTGAGGGGTGAGCTGCGTCGAGTCTCCAGAGACGCTAACCTAACCTGACCAGCGTCCCCACAGGCCCACTTCACACACCACCCTCCTATCCCCTGACCCAACCTTCAACATGTTCTCCTTATGATATTAAACAACCACCAATTCAGCATACAGCAGGAAATATAGCACAGTGAGGGGAAAAACGCACATCCGGAAGCTTAACGAACATGCGTAGGCTCTTGAAGTAGAGCCACTTCAAGTTTGAGGTGTGTGTGTTAGGGGAGAGGAGGTGGAGAAAAGAAAATAACAGAACAAAGCGAAAAATTTTACTGGAAGTGATGTATTTTCCCGCCAAAATTCTCCGGCGGAACAGGGAACCATAAGTGTGATTACATATAGAAAACGTTCATTGTCACGCTTGGCCAAAATACTCATACACACCACATTTCCTTTCAATTCATTTAGTTATTCACATGTTGCTGAACGTAAACTACTGCATGTTTTATATTGAGGAACGGGCGAAGATATCAGTTTGTCCTCTCCCCTCGTATTCCAATGGCCGAGAAGAGTAAGGTGGGCAAAAGAGGCGGGTGTTGTGAGGGTGGGGAAGGGGGCCACAACCAGCACTCTGTTAACGAACAAGTGGACCGTTTATGACGAAGGCTCCAGTTACATCATTTCCTGCTCGCCTTCCCTCCCCCTCCGCCCGCCACCGAACGTTGCTACTACACTACCTACCTCGTAAAAGCCACTTAAGTTCGCCCACGACTTGCCACCCTCCCCCACAATGGCTTCAATATAGGTTTTAGCATCCACAAAAATATAAAACCACACGATGTTTCCTACAACAGTAATACAAATATAACAAAACCAAAGCAGTGACGATTAACAGGTAAAAATCAGACAAGAGCATTCGAATTTCCACTGGCGAGCGAGATATAACGTATCCTTGATGGGTGATAACGGTAAAGCACAACAGATTATGACTAGTAATGCAGTGTAGGACAAAAGTCCCCTGGGCAAATCATAATTAAAATTTAAATAATTATTTTATTACACATTACATCATAAGACTACAATACCCAACCCAACCTAATCTAACCTACTTTGCACTTTAACTGAGGGACTTTTGCCCTGCTTTACACTTTAACTGAGGATTTTTTGTCCAGGGGGCTTTGGTCCGGACCCCCTAGTAATGTTAAGGGTA